ACGGAACTCTATATAGCGGAAAACTCTATAAAGGAATGGAATTTTGGTCCTGGCTGACGCTAAGCTATATAAAACGGCATTCTATCTAACGGAAACATTTTTTGGATCCTTCCATTCCGTTAGAGAGAGAGTCGACTGTTTATGGCTTTCTGCTAATAAGACTTTCTGATTAGAAAAGTGGAGTAGACAGAGTGGTTCCTCAGATATTCGACCGTTTTGTAATGGGCTTGTTGCTGAATTTGTTGAGCACTGTGCCTGATGTGGCCCGGACCAAAGCTTGTCACTGAGCTGACCTTGGTCTGTCCTAGTCTGGGTTTACTAAGGATTTCACCTAGGCCTAGCCATGACCTACTCCAACCTGTGATCAGGCTAGGATCCACGCAAGGCTTCGGTTTAGCCCTTGCATGAATCCTGGTCCTAGTCCTAGCCTAATCTGAGCCCCAGCTAGGATCATGATTGATCCAAGACCAGGAGCTCAGGCTAGCTAACTCTGGTCTAGCTAGGCCTGAATCTATACTGACTTTGGCTGTGTCTAGTTTGACTGGATGACTAGATTTCCGGTAGAAAATAACTTCTTTTCAGCATCGAGGTCGTATCATGCACACGTCGTATCAAGGAAATCTTAGAAGTATTGCTTGGTTTCATTGTTTTTGTGGGAGACATTGGAAAAGCCAAAATGTAAGTACACTTTCGAAGGAGAAGTAGCACCAGTTTATTGCTAATTGGAGCCAATATAAATTTTAACCCGTTAGCGATTCGAAGATCGAACTCGAATATCGCAAGATTCGAAGATCTTGAGATGCTACTGGAAGAGAGTACTGTTGTGATTTGTCAGTCTTGTAAGCTGAATGCCAATCTTCCATTTTGAATATTTGTAGTGTTAAGAGATTTATCTGTTGGGTAAAGCTACAGTACTATTGGGTTGGGGAGAATGAGTCGGCGCCGAAAATCAAAAAAATGTCTAAAACTTCTATTCGACTTCGTCAAATAATATGCGTTTGATATGAGTAGAATGGTTAACTAATTCTCTACAAAATGACATTTAAAAGAAAATTCAAACAGCGCCTCCGCTCAAGAAAAAGCCATTTTTTCACAAAAACTACAAACTGTCATCTAGAAAAAACCATTGGTGGGATCTTCCTGCAAATTTGGCAACTTAAGTAATTGAATGTGCTCTATCTTTTTTATATAAACAGCAAAGGAGGTTTATGTGGAAGAAACTGTTCAAATGATGAGTCGGACTCTTTGCCATTTTAACCAGATGCGTTTGGAAGTTCATAAACTCCACGAAAGAAAAGCTTTGTGGAATCTCTCAAAAGTCATTTTGTAGAGAAATAGTGGATCCTTTTGATGAAACCAAACGTATGTTTAAAGAAGGCTTTATGTGTGCAAAAAGTCCCTTTAAAGTTTGGCGCCGACTCATTCTCCCCAACCCAATAGATCAAAACAAAATAGGCCGAAACATTTTCAGGCCTGGTCCGAGTCCACTCAGCGATGCCAGCTGTGTCACAGGAGTGTGTGGCCATGCAAGATGAAACCACATCCGAAAATTTGATTCATCTTCTTCTCGTGTACTTTGTGCTATAGACGCATTTTTTTTCTGGCGCATTGAAGCTTTCATTTTTTGTGCGAAGGGCACATGCAACATGTTTTTTGAGCCCTTTAAAGTTCCTTTAAAGCTCCTTTATAGTTCTTATTTAGGTCCTTTAAAGCTCCTTTGTAGTTCCTATTTAGGTCCTCAAAGCTCCTTTAAAGCTAATTAATAGTTCCTATTTAGGTCATTTAAAGCTCCTTTAAAGCTCCTTCATAGTTCCTTTATAGTTCCTATTTAGGTCCTTTAAAGCTCCTTTAAAGCTCCTTTGTAGTTCCTATTTAGGTCCTGGTTAAAATGGCAAAGAGTCCGACTAAGATTGAATTTGCTTTTATAGTGAATATATTGATTTGTTACAAAAGCAAGACAAAGTGGTTTATTCCCTAGAAAAAAGATCAAGCCGCACAATTAGAACCACAAGATGAACGAATGACAAAAACTTTCACAAGCTTAATGAGTGACACACAGTGTTTGTTCTTTGCTTGATACACCAATGACCAAAAACTCAAAAACTCAACACTCAAAAGTTTCCACATTTGGCATCAATCATTCTTCTTTGTTGAACCGTCTTGCCGTCTTGCCGTCTTGCCTACCATTGTACCAATGATGTAAACTGTTCAACTCTGCATTTTCGGATCTTTATAAATGCTTTTCCTGTTCCTTTTTCCTTGGAAAATTTGAACCTGATTCAGTCATCAAAAACTTTTAAATTCTTTTCCCTTGAAACGACTAATCAATCGTTATCAAAAGAATCAAGAATACAAAGCCAGCTTTCATTTCCTTTTAACCACACCTAAAACCTAAAGCGATTTATTATTTGAATCGTGACTTGTGACTCGACTACTGTGATCCGTCACCCAGCTAGTTAGATACGGTAACTCGGGTAGTTATCTCGACTACTGTAACAACAATAAACCTAGGAACGGAAAGAGAGACGAAGAGCAAAAATAGACTTACAGTTAGATATCTAGGCCAGGTTATGGTCCTTGTTACGGTTTGAATGAATACAGAAGTGAAAATAGAAACTCTCGCCGTTATAGAGAGAATTTTTTTCTTATAAACCTTTTTGAGTTATCTCCTTCAACCAAACGAGAGTTTTACGAGGGTGATAAGACTAAAGCAGCCAATCTTGTTTCTCATAAATGAGAATCAAGAAATGGGTGGAGCATCCGTTCCTAGGAGCCTGTCAAATCGGGAAATTCCCTTGCTTGCTTATTTGTTATCTCTACGTGAATTTCTGAGTGAATTTGCGAATCACCTGAAAAAAAACCCCAATAATTTCACAATTTTATAATGTTTACACGCTTACATATGTATTTACAAGAGTTGAAAAATATGAGGGAATAATTTTGAGTCAAGAAAGAAGTTCCCAGAAAAGGAAGCATGTCGAACACCAGTCGACACACAACATTCGCTTCTTTTCGTGGATGTTCCGTTTTGGCACCATTTTACATGCTTACCCTTTCTTCAACCACTGCCATTGTAACACTCGATCATCGTAGAAAATCCACGTTTGATCGTCGGTGATGAGGTTCGAAAGAGGAAGCGGACCATGCCGGTATTCGCTTCACAAGTGGTTGCATGTCCGCTTTCTTTTGACTTGGATTGTTTCCGATATTTCATATGGAATTTGGCGTTGTTTTCTACAATTTCTTTCCACTTTTCGCAGTCATCGCTACACAGTCATCCGTTCACCGTAACTCCCAGCCAATTTCCCGGTTGATCCATCAGGATTTCGCAAGAATCGATGCCTCAGAATCGATGCCTCAGAATCGATGCCTCAGAATCGATGCCTCAGAATCGATGCCTCAGAATCGATGCCTCAGAATCGATGCCTCAGAATCGATGCCTCAGAATCGATGCCTCAGAATCGATGCCTCAGAATCGATGCCTCAGAATCGATGCCTCAGAATCGATGCCTCAGAATCGATGCCTCAGAATCGATGCCTCAGAATCGATCGATCCACTTTCCGGGGGTCGACCGATTCTCCTCTTCCGTTTGATCCTTGTGTTGCCCGTCTTGAATCTGTAAAACCATTCCTATGCAGTACTCGTTCCAACGATTTTGTTGCCATAAAATTGCTTGATTTCTTGTGTTGCTTTGACCGCTGAAATCCCTCTTGAAAATCGTTGAAGCGCGGGAGCAGTAGAATTTCAGTAGGGCAGTAGTAGGGAGCAGTAGGGCATGGATTTCTTCTCGAGTTGGCTTCATTCGATCGACTGCAACTCTCTTCTCGTGTCGATCCCTAAAAAATGAATGTTAGTGCAAGAAAGAAGAAAGTTTAAGCATGAAAAAGAAAGAAAATACAAAATGTTGTGAGCGAGCACTGATTAAAACAAAAATCTCAGGGTTTTTATGGGACAATCTAACAGAGTCCAAATGGGATTCGGTGCCTAAATCTATATTATCAATACCTAAATATTTTTACTACTCAGATTTCGAATAGTTTTCACAAAGCTAAAAGCATCTGATGAATGAGTGGGCTCTTATCATTCTTTTTTTCCTTTCATTGATCGCTTTCCTTTCTTTTCTGCTTTTTGCCTTTTTTATCAATGCCTTTCTAAGAGTTTTCTTGTCTCTGCTTCAAAATTTTAATAATTCCACAATTCAATAAATCCACAATTCCCATAAATCAATCGAGCCATTCCCGCTTTGTTTATTGCTTTACTGATTGACTAATGGCTAAGATCCGTTTCTTAAACTTGATTTTTAATGTACGATAAGGCGTTTCAATGTACGATAAGGCAATCAATAAGATTAAGGTTTCAAATTTTACAAACCAAAGCCTGTGATTGTTAATCACCTTTTTGCAAATCAAAAAAATTTCAGTTTCTTTTTTAAGACATTCTTTTCATCTTTTTAGAATGGTATCCGATTTTACGCAAAAAAAACCAAAATTCATTCATCTCTTTGCGCTTTTTCGAAAGTGATTAGATGCAATTTTTGAAAATTGAATGGGTTCAGCGCTGATTTTTCAATGTTTCATGCGAAAAAAAGATTTTTATGAAGAGTTTTTAATGCATCCTTTTTCAACATTTTAGCGTTTCATCAAAAATTGCATTACTCGCAATGTCCACTTCAGTTATTGAACATTGCTTTTCTTTGTCTTAAGATCAAAAAAATTTTCCTCAAATTTTCAGATATTTACTGGGAAAAAACGGCTCATTAAACGTCGATCGATTGCTAAATGAAAAGCAATAATGTGATTGCTGGGTTGTTGGGCGTTTGTGCTTGTCTTTTATTTCTCATCTACTATGAAGAGATTCGAAATGTTATGTTTGGTGGGTGATTGAGTGGGGATTTTCTTGGCAGCGATACTCCAATCTGGCCCTAGAGACGATAGGCAAGTCAGGGCAAGGTCGGAGCCAAGACCAGAGCCAAGAACAGAACCGAGACCAGAGACAAGGTCAGAGCCAAGACCAGAGACAAGGCCAAAGCCAATTTGGCTTTTTTGAATTTTTGAAAAATGTTTTATTTTAGAACTTTTTCAGGCATTTTAATGTAAGAGTTGAAAACTCTGGTTTCTAGCATTCATGAGCTAATATATTGTTGAGTGATTGCATACTTTTTAAAATAAAACGCTTCATCGATTACATAGTTTCCCAAAATTTCAGAACAATCCAATCGATCGAACCGTTCTCTTTCTTTTAATCTTTTTTTAATCTTGCTTAAATTGAAACGAAAATTAGCACAAAGCACAAAGCACAAAGCATTAAATTCGCACAAAAGTGCATTTTGAGTCTAATTTGAAAATCAACCTTCCGAAGACTGGATTGTTCTGAAATTTCGGGAAACTTTGTAATCGATGAAGCGTTTTATTTTAAAAAGTGTGCAATCACTCAACAATATAATAGCTCATGAATACTAGAAACCAGAGTTTTCAACTCTTACATTAAAATGCCTGAAAAAGTTCTAAAATAAAAGATTTTTCAAAAATTCAAAAAAGCCATTTTGTAGATTAAGGATAGGGCTTTTGAATCAAGCAAACCGTTTTTTGATTGGATAAGCCGTTTTCTCAGAAAACACATTACCAAAAAACGATCGTTTATAACTTGCCAACCTAATATTTGCTAAATTGTAATTGTAATTGGATAATTGTATTTGCTTTTAATTGGAAATATTTTAAAAACCGAAGCTGTTTGCTACTTTTTTTTTGATAAGTAATTATTTATGTTCAAAATTTGCTTTTAACTTTGCTTTTAACTTAGTAAGCGAAAAAAATTAGACTTTTATGAATAAAATGACATTTATACCGAAACTTTCAGAGCAACTACCCCAGCAGCTACAATATATCGCTCAAATGCCAGGTGATAGCAATAGAAAGCTTTTGAATTTGAATTTGAATCTGAAGCTTTTGAATTTGAATCTGAAGCGTTTGAATCTGAATTTGAAGCTTTTGAATTTGAATCTGAAGCTTTTGAATTTGAAGTTGAAGCTTTTGAATTTTAGAAACAGGGAAGAGCGAAAGTGGAATGGATCCGAATGATGAGGATAGGCAAGAAGAGGAAAGAAATAATGCAACAACAACAGCAACCACAACAACAAATCCACGCTTTTACACAATTAAATCTTTGGAAGATCTCTTCGACACATGTCCTTTGAAACACAAAGATCCGTGGGACGATGAGTTTATCAAGAAACTTGGGAAAGCAAATAAAGATTGTGGGTTTAATTTCGTTTGAAAGCAAATCAAAATAGTGAATTCAATTCTTGAAGTCTTGAGTCTTGATTCAAGACTCTTGAAGGTGCTTTTGTGCCAATTTCTTTGATTCAAATGGATTCAAATGGATTCAAATGGATTCAAATGGATTCAAAAGGATTCAAATAGATTCAAATGCTGATTTTCATAGGGAATTTGCGTTCTCTAAAAGAAAAATATGGAATTTTAAACTTTACACACCTTTAAACTGATCTATTCTTTAGATTACAGACTTAAAAAAAATTTTTAAGACTTTGACAAGACTTTAGCGTGTACCCCAGATGAATTGCTCACGAAATTCAAAGATGGAAAAGTGGAATTGAACGAGAAAAACCCGGCCTCAAAAGGACATTCTTGTCAAGGCAGGTTTGTAAATAGTTTTGGAATAAAAATAGGATAAAGAATAAGAATAAGATAAAACTTTTAAACATTTGAACTTTTCTTTTAGATGTATCTATTACAAGAACAACTACGTGCTAGGCAGCGATTCGTGGAAGAAAATCGACGATCAGAAATTCGAGTGCGATCACGTGGAGGTCGAGTGCAAGGATGTGAATGGGAAAGTCGATTACAAGTACATTCATCAGCAGATTTTTGAGTACAGGTGGGTGAATTACGAGTCCATTTATACAATGTCTTTTGTCTTGTGAATTACGAGTACATTTCTATAATGTCTTTTGTCTTGTGAATTACGAGTAGACTTCTACAATTTCTTCTGTCTTGTGAATTAGGAGTACACTTCTACAATGTCTTTTGTCTTCTGAATTACGAGTCCATTTATACAATGTCTTTGTCTCAATGTCTACAATGTCTTGTGAATTACGAGTACATTTCTATAATGTCTTTGTCTCAATGTCTACAATGTCTTGTGAATTACGAGTACACTTCTATAATGTCTTTGTCTCAATGTCTACAATGTCTCAAGATTGCTCAATGCTAAAATCCAAAATTCAGCCGTGATCGCATGAACTTGTTCGGATCGATGGGCAAAAAGACGAATGCGAGTAGAGTGAGATCGGATCAATTCCATCCCGATGTCTATATTATCATTCTTGATGCAATGTCAATGACTGGAGGATTCAGGTTTGCCCTTGGTTTACCCTTGGTTACGATTAGAAAGAGCTTAGAAAGAGCTATTGGACAAAGATATGTCACCAAAATCGAAAAAACTAGAGCCAATTGTGGCAAACAGAGCTCAAATTCAAATTCAATCTGATTTTAAAGACTTTAAAACATAAGTTTAAAGGAAATGATCTCAGGGAAGCTGTAAAACGAAAAATAAAACATAAATACTGAATACAAATGCGTCAAAAGGGCAAGAAAAGGAAAAGGAAGAGAAGGAAAAGGTTATGTGAGGATTCGAACTCAGGTTACCCTTACGGGCTTCTAGTATGTCCTAGTTCACTATCCTCTAGACCATAGAAGTCTTCTTGTATGGTCTAGTATGGTCTGTAGAAGTCTTTTTGTGACCGCCTCATAAAGAAATCCGAAATCCGAATATTCTATGTCAGATTCCTGACGTTTGAGTACGAGTCCGCAGCTAATTTTTGCAGATTCGGAATCATCATTTCCGATTCTAAGATGCATCTGGTCTCGAATCGATTTTCAACGATTCAATCGATTTCAACGATTCAATCGATTCGAGTCTGAGTGCATTCCCTTGTTAGGTTACACTAAAGAAAAACAGTTATCAGTTCTTTATCAGTCTTCTTTATCAGCATTCTTTATCAATTTTCCTTATCAATTTTCTTTAGACAAATGCCAGAAACGATGATTTTCCTTGAGGAATCCCTCCAGGCTGTTCCATTTCGATTCGTCGCAAAAGTCGCCGAGAACAGTAAACCCAATTCGATTGCGTTTCTTTTCGGTAATAATTTGGAAAAAAAACTTGTAGATTCTCATAGATTAAATTCGAATCGATCCTCAACTTCGAGTTCCATTCTGAATCAGTTTTGGGCTTTTTTTAAACCCGCCTTCATTCCTTTGAAATGATATTTGAATTAAACTCTGCCTCGTTTAGGGTGCATTTGATTTATTTCCAGTGTTTTGACTCTGCAAGCATTAGATTCAATACTTTTCTTTATGGGAAACGTCTTTTTCTCTGACAATTTTAGCCTTTTCAACACTATTTCAACAACACAACAAGAACGGTGATCAAAGAAATAAGTTCCCGTACACTTTGCGAAAGAAGCTCCATTTTCAGCTAAAACCCAGATCGAAAGTCGACTTACTGTCTAGTATTTGAAAGCTGAAATTCTGGGGAATATTTCGACACCTATAACATCTTGATCAAAGCCATCTAGCTCTTCAAAGAAACGTTGTAGTACGCTGGAGGTTAACGCTCATCGCGCTTTGCGACACTTTGCGAAAGAGGCTTCATTTTCAGCAAAAACCCAGATCGAAATTCGACTTACTGCATAGTATTTGAAAGCTGAAATTCTGGGGAGTATTTCGACACCAAAACCATCCTGATCAAAGCCACCTAGCTCTTCAAAGAAACATTGTAGTGCGCTGGAGGGAAACTGTCATAGCGCTCACCTAGTTGAACCTGTTTTCAATTGAAAGCCTTTTTAAATCTACACTTTTGTTTTAAGTAACAGTTCAATTTTTATTTTAAAAGAATAAAATCAATCGTCAGAATAAAAACGTAAAATAGTTTTCAAAAACATGCAAAAAAGAAACTGTGTGTTGTCTCTGTTGGGCGGTTCTCATTCTCTCGAATGCAGGCTTGCTTGAAAAGGTTGGAAATTTCTGATCTGAGCCATTTACTTATAGAAATTTTCATCAGAATTTCACCTTCAAAATACTAGAATATACGGGAAATCTTTGTTTTAGCTTACATTTAGAAAATCAATCATTTACAAGTATGCGGGAAATTTTTGGCTCACCCTGTACACTTGCTGGTACAGCATTCTCGAATGGCTTAGTCTTTTAGCTTGAGGTGACAACCTGGTAGGATCAACCAGATAGCTGAACTAAAATATGCATGGCTTAGTCTTTAACCCGAGCTAGCAGTCTGATAGGATCATTGAGCTATACGGAGCTATCATGCGTTTTCATATCTGGTTGATCCGAGCTTAAAGCATCCGGTTGCAAGACGGCGACTTTGAAACAGTGATATGATGAAAGAGGTGCACAACAACTGAGTGGACCTTCGGTCAATCAAGGCATTCGGTCAATGAAATGATCTCAGGGAAGCTGTAAAAGGGAAGCTGTAAAAGGAAAGCTGTAATCCAGGCTTCCGCGTGTTTTTGCGTGGCGCGAAGAAGGCGAAACGTTGAAACGGCTAAAGACTAAACAAGCCAACCAATCATAGGCAGAGTCTCAACAGATCGCAGCTATACTGCTCTACTGAGTACAACACCTTGACCAGCGATCAAGTCGTATGCAAGTGATCTTGCGCCCTCGAGAATTTCAAGCTAATTTTTATCTTTCATTTTCATTTTTTTTCATAAACATCTTTCTTAGCAGCTTTTACACTCATTTCTTATAAAGAAGAAAAACTTTTTTTAAACTTATTGAAGCTATATTCAGGAGAGATCCCAATCCCAGTTGATCGTCGTGTGTTCGGGGTAAATGACGTGCTACACCATACTCTGGATGAGAATGAATCTTGTGGAAGAGCACTCGATAATGAGACATATATCATGTTTGAATATGAGGTAAAGCTGGATCTTTTGAAAATATCATAATCTCACTACAGTATGTCTGAATGGAAAGGGTTTTGGTTAAGGCTTTAGCTTTACTAAAAACATAAAGCTATTCAGTCACGTTGTACTGTAATAATAAAAGAGATTAGCATTTTACATTCATCTACTATATATTGACTTTACAAGCATCTACTCTAACCATTTCCAAATCCGAACTAATTAATTAATTACAAACCATTTACAAATCCCGCCACTTTGCGTTTCTTTTTGGGTTGTCCACTATTTTGGAAATTTCTCAAGATACCGAAATCAAGAAAAAGATATATATGAGTATTATTCGAAAGCTGAAGATCTCCTCTACATTTTGATATAAAAAGTCTTTGAATTTGTCCAGCTTTTGGGCAAATTGACTGCACAGAAGAAGAGGTGGCCAAAAAATGGAAATGTGCCTTTGGATTAAGTTTTGGCTTCGCTCAAATTGAGTTAACTGTTTGATGCTTGGCCAATAGATATATCAATACAACCTTTTTTTTAAATATAACAACTTCAGATCATCTTTACTTTTCTTTTCTTTTCTTTTCTGGGCGGTTATTTTACACCATAAAAGCTGGGATGGGTTTTTTCGAAAACGACCTCTCCCTTTGTGCAGTCAATTTCCTAAAAAGTTGAATGAATTCGAAAACTTTTTTATTCCAAAATGTAGAGGAGATCTTCAGCTCTCGAATGATATATAACACTCATAAACATCTGTTCGATATCTTGAGAAATTTACAAAATAGTAAAAACGCGCATTCATAACTGGACAACCCAATATATCTCCAAAACTAGTAAGCCGATTTTGAAGATTTTGGTGTCATTTTGTGGAGCAAGACAGCAAGCAAGACTTATAGATTCTTGTGAAGTTACATTTGGAAAAAGTTTTCAGAACATTCAGCCAAAAAAAAAGCCCGTCGTTAAGCGAGTTTTTCGACTGATTTGGTAAAAAGAATGCCCATTTAGGATGCCGGCTATAAAACGATGTGGGGTTGTGACTTTTATCTGGTGAATTTCGGCTACACGAATTGTGTGGGCATCAAGAATCAACTATCAACGCATTATATGAGGTGAATCATTTTATCACCTCTTAAAATTTATTCTTTGATTGTTTAGAGCTTTCCAAATTCGATCCGCCTATCAAAAGGACGATTTGTTGAAATCTTTCGTGTTTAATCGCGAAAAATGTCGTTTTCCGTACACTCATCTCTTGGATTATCAACAGATGTTTATCGATTCGTATAAAGGTTTAAAAATATAGGATTTTAAAAGATGATCTAGCCGGATTGGACTTCTTGACATGACTTGACTCTTGTTTTTGACTGTTTTCTAAAAAGTGAAACACTACTGTACTCTGAGCGGCTTTTAAAACTGTACAAAATTGAACTATTCATTAAACTAGACAAGTCTCACACTTGTCTAGTTTAATGAATGGTTAAATTTTGTCATTTCGCCAAAAAAATGATGTAATTACGGTAGGGTAGATAACAGGTATTCGTTCCTAGGTGTAAACGGATGTGGACTAGAATTTGGGTTAAGTTAAAGAGAGTGGATCCCTTTTGATGTAAAATAAAATACCGTATTCTCTCTAATAGAGGTGCACTCTTTAATAGTACTGCACTCTCTAATAGTATTGCGGTCCAGGAGGGGGTTCAAAAAATAGTAGTGCGCACTACTATTAGAGAGAATACGGTAACTGTAAAATGTATGCATGTAAAATAACTAAACTAAACGGCTTCCTATTTATTAGAAGCGAAAGAGTGTCTGTCTGTTCCACTATTTTAGAAAAAATCGGTCGCACCAATCGGTCTGAAAATTTGACTATTATGTCCAAAATTTCATGTACTTTCCAAAAATCTAATTACTTTTGTGGGTTCGACGGGCGATTTGTTGTAAAAAAACACCACTTAGGAGACCACCCTTAGGAGCTGAAACATGAAAATTTGTTTCTCTTTCTACCGTAATTACTGTAATAGTGCCCCACCCTCCTCGTACAGTCGCGTAGTCGCAAAAGTTTTTTAGTATTTCATTTTTTCAAAGCGCCCGTACTTTCAAAAAATGCGTCTTTGATATCAAAAAATAGCTGAAATTCAGGGCTATTTTTTGATACCTAAGCGCGCATTGTAGCATAAACTAGTGTCGAGAAAAACTCGTTCAAAGCTCGACTATGCAACACTCCGCATCGTCATTATGGGGTTGCGGTACTATTACAGTATTTACGGTATGAACATAATAAGTAGACACCCTTAATAGCTGAAACATGAAAATTTGTTTCTCTAAGTCAATCTTGCTTTTTACAAGACACAAAAGTAGACGCGTAGGTAATATTAGGTTGTTTAAAAAGTTCGCGGTCACTTGCAGAAAAATTCAATTTTTATTTGCAAATAATCAAGAAAAAACAAGAACGAAATCTCTTCGAAATATAGTCCGTCATTCTTTACGACCTTCTGCCATCCTATAAGAATAGAACTGAACTGTTTTGTCATGATTTCTAAAACAAAATCACTCGCAGATAGGTATAGTAATAAGTTTTTAATGAAGTTTCATGTAAAATAACTAAACTAAACGGTTTTACTATTTATTAGAAGCAAAAGAGTGTCTGTCTGTTCCACTATTTTAGAAAAAATCAGCCGCACCAATCGGTCTGAAAATTTGACTATTATGTCCAAAATTTCACGTACTTTCCAAAAATCTAATTACTTTTGTGGGTTAGACGGACGATTTGTTGTAAAAACGCGGTTTTCTTATGAGCGCTTTCCTCTTATGAGCGTGGCCGAGTGATCGAAAGCGCTGGATGTCGGTCTGGCGCTAAAGAGCGGCTCTTGGTTCAACCCCTCTGCAATGCTAAAGTCTTTTTTGAACGTTTTGAGGAATAGAAATTGTAATTAATACTTCCAACTAAGATTTCGATTGCAAAAATAGATTAAGCTCAATCTTCACTGAGCAACTTTTTGCATGATTTGTAATTGTTTAACTTGTTTAACTAAATGATTTCTAAAATCACTAGAGTTTGTTGAGTCTGAATCAAATCTAAATCTTTTGGAAAAAAGGTATTCGTTCCTAGGTGTAAACGGATGTGGACTAGAATTTGGGTTAAGTTAAAGAGAGTGAATCCCTTTTGATATCCCGCCATCTCTAACACCCCGACAACCCAACTCAACTCCTCCAACGTATTAGAGGAGCCCCTGTGAAATGACCGACCTGTACTGCAGTTGCATAGACCCGGAAGATACGTATCTTTATTTACAGTAATACAATAAGATGAATAGATTACAAATAAGTGTAAGGGGAAGGGGGGACTCCAAATGAGAGTCTCACTGGTCCTCCTAGGCTCCTCACTGTCGTCCTAGGCTCCTCACTGTCCTTCTAGGCTCCTCACTGTCCTTCTAGGTTCCTCACTGTCCTCCTAGGCAATCCCAAGGACCGCCCCTTCTCGGCAATAAAAGGGATAAGCACAGGGGAGAACACATTTGCATAAGAATATGCAAATCATTCAATAATAACAATAGTAACTAAAATATCAGTTTGGCTCGGAGCTGACAAAGGAAAAAATAGAAGAATCACTTGTAAAAAATAGAATCTTCTTGCTGACTCGGTCGAGGTCTTCTAGCATCCGTTGGGCTTCTATTACGGTAGATTACGGTAACCAAAGTGCACTTTTTCATAACAAAAGAAAGTCAATTCTGTCCAGCTTTTATTCTTTATTTTCAACAATCTCTTTATCTTTTAGATGTTCCGAAAATGTCATTAATCTGGAGTGTAGACGCTTCTCACGACTCTGAAAAACCGATGGCCAGCACCGATTCGACTTTTCGCAAATTTTTAGAGCAAAATAAGCACAATGTAAAAAATTTCAATTACAGAATGACTTGCAATCAGAATTTCAGTTCGATAACGCTTTCGTGATCGTAATGGGTGATCATGGACCGAGATATGATAGTGTAAGAAATATATTCAAATAATAGAAATCGAACACTGATCGAAATCTCATTGATTAGGCAAGGGATTCAGGCGACAAACACAAAACAAGGATTGTATGATCGGATAAACCCGTTGATGATGCTGGCTCTACCAGAAAGACTCCGAGGATCAAAAATGCATAAAGTTTTGAAAGAGTAAGTCATAGATGTTTGCGGTTTAAGGGGTTTTGCGAAATTTTTGATCACTACAAAACAAAAACTTTGGTAGTTAAATCGAATTTTAGCATTTTGGCTGTAAATCGTCCAGTGGTTCACGCGATTTGTTAAAGAGAAAAGCTTTGGAATCTTATTCCATAGCTCAAATCAAGTAAATTTTGGAACTGTAACTTTGCAGGAACAGTGAAGAGCTTTCTTGGCGCAGAAAGCTTTTTTTAGTGGGGTAAAAAGTGACGCAAAAAGTGTGGCAGAAAATGGGACAGAATGGGAAGCAGAAGGTGAGGCAGAAAGTGACGCAGAAAGTGACGCAGAAAGTGGGGCAGAAGGCGGGGTAGAAAGTGGGGTAGAAAGTGCGGTAGAAAGTGAAGCAAAAAGAGGCAGAAAGTGAGGCAGAAAGTGAGGTAGAAAGTGGGGTAGAAAGTGAGGTAGAAAGTGAGGTAGAAAGTGGGGTAGAAAGTGGGGTAGAAAGTGGGGTAGAAAGTGGGGTAGAAAGTGGGGTAGAAAGTGGGGTAGAAAGTGGGGTAGAAAGTGGGGTAGAAAGTGGGGTAGAAAGTGGGGTAGAAAGTGGGGTAGAAAGTGGGGTAGAAAGTGGGGTAGAAAGTGGGGTAGAAAGTGGGGTAGAAAGTGGGGTAGAAAGTGGGGTAGAAAGTGGGGTAGAAAGTGGGGTAGAAAGTGGGGTAGAAGGCGGGGTAGAAAGTGGGGTAGAAAGTGAAGCAAAAAGAGGCAGAAAGTGAGGCAGAAAGTGAGGCAGAAGGTGGGGCAGAAAGTGAGGCAGAAAGTGGAGTAGAAAGTGGGGTAAAAAGCGAAGCAAAAAGAGAGGCAGAAAGTGAGGCAGAAAATGTCACTGTAAATCTTGTATTCGTTTGCAGAAATAGTGAAGAGCTCTCTTCCCACCACGATCTTCATGCCACTCTCGTTGACATCGTTCGGGTAATAGTACACAAGAAAATGATTTCATCGTACTTTTAGCATCAACCAGAAACAAATTTTACGGACATAAAATACCGAAAAATAAATAAAACCTATGGATCGTCGTGGTTGCGAAAATTTGAATCGGGAGTGCCGAGGACGTGCAAAACGCTTCCAATCCCATCGCAATATTGTCTCTGTGATTATGGCCAAATCGAGATTTTGTGAGATTTTAGATCATTTTTTTGCCTTACTATTTGAATTTCTAATTTACTAATTTCGGTTCTTCTAGGAAGCAGTCTTTTCATTGTAAAAAGCAGTACTTTTCGATTATAACCCCGCCATCCAAACAAATGTTTCCTTGCTAAAGTGGCTAATCGGAGTACCAAGACGCTCGTGTACAAGATTTTTGAATTTATCACCCGCATCGATGATTTGCAGGCTACTGACGTTAAACTGACGATGATTTGCAGGCTACTGACGCCCAAGTGAAATCAGGTGAGGCTAAATTCACCCAAACTGTTGTGAATTTAGCCTAGCCTGATGTCACTTGGGCTTTAAATGTCTTTAAAGGGGGGCACATCGGCGCGAAAATGCGTTTTCTATCGGATTTTTCTGGGAGTACCTTTTTTAGATGCGGAAAATTGTGATGATTCCGAATCAAATCCCTCTGACTCGATTTTTTAAAATCGCACCCGTCCACACAAAAGTTATCGGTTTTGAGGGCGCAATCTTTCGGCCACGCTGAGAACGAGCCACCGAAAGTTGGTCGCGGCTAGCGAGTTCATTGTAAAAGTGCGGTTTTTTCGATAAAAGGCGATTTTAAAAAATCGAATCAGACGGATTTCGATAATTTCTTCACCATTCAATTCAGCACAATTTTCTGCGTCGAATGGATATTCAAACGTGAAATTCTGATAGAGAACACCATTTCGCGCGGATGTGCCCCCTTTAACGTCAAAAACTCCTGCCGAACTGACGTCAGGCTAGGCTAAATTCACAAATACACGCATTGATGCATGGGCGCTAACCGCATAGTGCCGTTTTTTAAAATTTTAGAGTGGCGGAGGTATAAACCGAAATGGGGAGGTGACGGGGGGTATAACCGAACAGTACTTAAAAAGCTATCATATGCAAAACCGAAAGCCAAACCATCCATATGAAAGAAACCATATGAAAGAAACTTAGTGTTTCTAATGTTTCTAATGAAAAAAATCGTATTTCTATTCAAAATATTCTTAAACTAAAACTTTACAGGGATTCAAATTTGCACAAAGAATTGGGTCAACGAGCCGTCCGTGATATTAACACATTTTTGCATGAGAGAGGCGTCGCTGATCAATGTGAGGACATGGAATTTGATTCGGTGAGGAAATTTAAACAATTTTTAGATGAGTAAGCTGCTCTTAATGCCGTCAGGTGAGGGAATCGTTTTTATTTTTTATATTGCGTAAGTTAGACAATTTGTAAACAAAATGCAAACGTTAAAGCATATAAAAATGAAACTCTAAACAATTTTTAGATGAGTAAGCTGCTCTTAATGCCGTCAGTCACCTATAAAGCTCAATATCGAGTGCATTTCATAACAAAAAAAGGCGCTAAGCTTATGGTGGGTGAATTTCAAAGTTAGAAGTTGAACGGAAAGACTTTGAGAGCTTTGGGCAGCGTTTATAAATGGAAAATCATCAATTGACATAGAATCGAAATAGAAAAAGTTAAGCAAATAGAGGAATTTTCAAAAATGTTAGAAACAAACTGATTCGACTGAACAAATCAACTGAAATGCTGCCATATTCGCTGATTTTCACAGATGTTCAAACCGCCATCTTGCCAGAGCTGCAAGAGCTCGCCAGAGCTGCAAGAGCTCGCCAGAGCTGCAAGAGCTCGCCAGAGCTGCAAGAGCTCGCCAGAGCTGCAAGAGCTCGCCAGAGCTGCAAGAGCTCGCCAGAGCTGCAAGAGCTCGCCAGAGCTGCAAGAGCTCGCCAGAGCTGCAAGAGCTCGCCAGAGCTGCAAGAGCTCGCCAGAGCTGCAAGAGCTCGCCAGAGCAGATGTGAGGTTGCAAGATTGGTCAACCTAGTTTCTCTACCTTCTACGAACTTCTGTCTCACCACAGAAGCTTCAGGCAATTCAGGCAATTCTTGTGCAAGACAGCTAGAAGAAAATATTTTATTGAAGTTTCCCTTTGATTTCTTAGGCGTTTACAGTTGGTAAACTTGAATGTTTCAGGCTTCCTCATCAATTCAAGACTATAGTTTCAATAATCTGTTGAATCCTTTCTTTTTCTCGGCTTCAGATTTCTTGGCATCCTCAGCCTGCTTCTTAGCCTCCTCATCCGCTTCTGCCTTTGCTTCTTCGTCAGCCTTCTTCTTTGCAGCTTCTTCGTCGGTCTTCTTGGTTTTGTCGGCTTTCTTTTTCTCGGCTTCAGATTTCTTGGCCTCCTCAGCCTGCTTCTTGGCATCGTCAACCTTCCTCTTTGCCTCCTCATCGGCTACTGCCTTTGCTTCTTCGTCAGCCTTCTTCTTTGCAGCGTCTTCGTCGGTCTTCTTGGTTTTGTCGGCTTTCTTTTTCTCGGCTTCAGATTTCTTGGCCTCATCAGCCTGCTTCTTAGCCTCTTCATCGGATGCTGCCTTTGCTTCTTCGTCAGCCTTCTTATTTGCAGCGTCTTCGTCGGTCTTCTTCCTCCTGTTAGCCCCGTTAGCTTTAAGTCAATTTGAGTCAATCTCCAAGTAAACTCGAGTAAAATAAATCGTTTTTTTATAAAATCCGATAAACGATGATAGAAATAAGTTGGCTAGATCGATTTTTAAAAAAATCTGTTTTTTTTGTGTGCTATTTTTTATTGACAGAAAAATGTGTTTCCTTGACTCGAAATGGTTGAATTGCGCATTGGAATCGCCTTTTTTGCGCCTTTTTTTGCCTACAACGCGCTCGTCCAAATATTAGGTTGGTGCAGATGAAACTTCCGTTGGAACCATAAACAAAATTTATTATAAAAATCCTAATAAAGAACCTCAATCCAAAAGATATTTGCCATCATTATCAATGACTCTTTGCCATCTTCCACGCAGAGAATGGATGCCCTTTTCGAAGAACTCGGGCAACCGCGACTCGAAGAAGTTGGACACCCAGATTTCAACTTCTTCGCGGTTTTTGAATTTTTTTTCTGCTAGAGAGTGCTGCATCGACCGAAACAAGTGGTAGTCGGATGGGGCCAAGTCCGGGCTATATGGCGGATGAGGCAGAACTTCCCAGCCCAATTCCTCGATTTTCTGCTGGGTGATCTTTGCGGTGTGGGGTCGAGCGTTATCGTGGAGGAATTTTGTAGTCGCTGTGTTATTGCCTTGACGACGCAATGCCTGGTCCACGCGGCCCAATTGGGCTTAGTAGAGATCCGCCGTGACTCTTTGGCCCGAATTCAGCACCTCAAAATACACGAGACCTTTACTATTCCACCAAATACAAAGCATCACCTTTTTTCCGTGGATATTCAGTTTGGGAGTCGGTTTTGGCGGTTCACCGGCGTCCAACCACTGCCGTTTTCTTGTTGTGTTGTCGTAACATATCCACTTTTCATCTGCCGTAACAATGGAGTCGAGAAAACCGGCGGTCTTTGCGCGGCGGACGAGAATTCCAGCCATTGTAGCTCGAGCCGCTTTGTTTGCGTCGCTGAGCTGATGTGGCACCCATTTTCCACACCGATTCGTCTTACCAATTGCGTGCAAATGGCGGAGAATGGTTGTATGGTCGCAGGCAAACAGCTCTGCAAGCTCCCGAGTTTTTTGGCATGGATCCGATTCGATAGCGTTCTTCAACTCATCGTTGTCGACAATTTGAGGCGGATTCCCGCGTTTTTCGTCTTCCAAACTCTCATCACCGTCTCGGAAGCGCTGAAACCAAGTCCGGCATTGACGTTCGCACAACACGTCATCGCCGAATGCTTTGCACAGAGCACGATGAGATTCCGTAGACGTTCTGCCTTATTTAAAATCATACAACAAGCAAACCCGCATTTTTCGTCAACCATTTTCTAGAAGCTAAAAATTACTTCAAATTAAGTAAAACGCATAAGTCTTAGATATCAAAAGACGCGCAAAGAGACGCTCTTTCAGATAGACAAATATCTTCAATAAAAATTTTTATTAGGTTCAAAATATAAACAAACAAGTGTGACGGAAGTTTCATCTGCACCAACCTAATACAACACATTTCTAACATTTTTTAACGTAGAATAATCGAGCTTTAAAGCTTTAAAATGAAGAAAATCCTATGTTCATCGACGCATTAATCATTTATAAACAGAATTTTTAAAAAGTCTCTTCAAAGACTTTCCGTTCAAGCTAATACTTGATGCAATTGGAGATTGTTGAGATATTATTGTCTCAACAATCAATCAACAAATGTAATTGGAGATATTATTTTTTACCATAATTTTAGACAACCTATGTCAGACATCAAAATGATCGAGTCGAGCTTTTGAAAAGAGAATGGGATAGAACGGATAGGTGAGACTTTTGGAGAGAAATCGTTTGTAAACTTTTTCTAAACTCCTTTCTGTTTCGAGCAAGCTTTAGGCCGTCGTAACCCGTAAAGCTGTTGCTTGATTTTTATCTTTTACAGTCTTAGTTACTGTGATATCAACTAGCCTAGAGATAGGAAGAGTAAAAAGATTTATAAAGCTTAAACTTATAGAGATTTGAGTCAAAGGTTACGGTGGTTTGAGCATGCTCTTCTTGAACCGAATTGGCGTTTGGAGAAAGTGTAATTGAAAGGAAATTGTTCACACATTCGGCGGTATTTTGAGTGTAAAGTCGCGTAGTCTACTATTTTACTGATAATTTGGTGTCAATTCAAAGATAAACTAAACTATTCTAGTCATTCGATAGCGCTGAATCTCCTCTTGAAAACTGGTACAAAGTTATCGAGAACTTTGTGCGAAATGAATAACAAAATCCTTAAAAACGAGTTGAAAGCAAAAATAATCGTCATTAGTAGGAGTTAAAGAACTTTTTATGTATCCAACCGTTAAATCAGTCATCCAATCCGCAAGACTCGGCTCGAAAGATTCAGCGACAACAATTTAATTACTTTCTTCAATCTGAAAAGGAGTTTTTTTGAAAGGTTTAAACATTTAAAGGTGTACAGAAAATGTTTACTCTCAATGCGTTTGGATTGTCCAATCGTTGATCGGGATATCCCTGAAATTGGATTCTAAATGTTAAATGGAATGGATCCTTGCAAATACAAAGATAAACTAAAATATTCTAGTCATTCGATAGCCCTGAATCTCCTCTTGAAAACTAGCACAAAGTTACCAAGAACTTTCTGCAAAATGAATAAGAAAATCCTTAAAAACGAGTTGTCACCAAAAAAATTGTCATTAGTACGATCTCAAATATTGTCGTGAATGTGTTAAATCTGAAGATATCTCCCCTTTTCATTCATTCTCCTAATCACCAAAATAATCCCCTTTTTCACGCTACATTGAGCTTGTAGATAAGCCAGAGAAATTTTGCATTCATTACTTTACGCTAAAGCGGCTTTTTGAGCGTAAAGTCGCGTAGTCGTTAACTGTTTTACTGATAATTTGGTGTCAATTCAAAGATAAACTAAACTATTGTAGTCATTCGATAGCCCTGAATCTCCGCTGGAAAACTAGTACAAAGTTATCGAGAACTTTCTGCGAAATGAATAACCAAATTCACACAACTTTTGGAACTTTCGATGTGACACTTCATTTCTTTGGTATCCCTGTGACGAATAAACAAAAGAAAAAAACAAAATAAAGCGTTTTTTTTTCTGAAAGGTGGATAACGCCGAAAAATAAGTAATCTTTCTTTACGTAATCATGTTTCAATTCATAAATAAAACGGCAAATTTAATGAAATCACAAGTAAATAGAACAAAAAAATCCGAAGAAAAGCAAAATGAATAAAAGAAAATCCTTAAAAACTTGAGTTTCCACCAAAAATCATCGTCATTATGTGAATGTGTTAAAGAAAACGTGTTGAACACAAGTTTCAATTAATATTCAATTGAGAATTGAAAGGAGATTCAATTGAGAACTGAGAGGAGATTCAATTGAAGAGGAGATTCAATTTTATTTCAAAAAATCTTTAAGAGAAATCTTTAGATATGGCAAAACAGCTGATTGTTTAAAGATTGATGCAAAGAATTTTGATTTGAGAATATTGTGTTATTGTAAAAAGCAATAGGTTTTTATATTGATTTATTATGTTTACCGTATTTCTTCGAATAGAAGACCGGGTAAAGAGTATGATCGCGTACTCCTGCGTAGCAGCCCTTTTTAAAATTTCTTTTCTGCATAAAAGCTTTCAATCAAGTGCTATAGGGCTGAAAAATGACTCAAAAATCTGTTAGTGAATGTGGTATTTTTGAGCCATTTTCCAGTTCTATGGCACTTGATTGAAAGCTTTTATGCCGAAAAGAAATTTTAAAAAGGGCTGCTACGCAGGAGTACGCGATGATACTCTTTACCCGGTCTTCTATTCGAACAAATACGGTATCTTCTTTAGTACGAGGTGTTTTTTTCTGTGATCACTCATTTCTTTCACTTGTTGCCTTTTCTTTGTTTTCTTTATCAAAAAAAAGATAAACTATTATGCTGAGCAATTTAAATATCACAAAGACAAAAGGAAATGTTTTGAAAAGTTGAAAACACTTACCGCATTCTCTCTAATAGTAGTGCACCCCGGCGAGCCGAGTTGATGCCTATTTTACGGTTTCCAAAGTTTTCACAGAAGCTCAACACTCAAATCCCCCACTAGATCTGATCGTCAGCTACATTTCCCGACCCCACATCGATGGGTTCTGATAAGCGGTTTTTGAGATTTCGAGTAATTAAGGCGACGCTCTGGGTGCACTGCTATTAGAGAAAAAAACGATATTTTATCAGTAGGAAATGAGAAAGAAAGGCTTAGGAAAAGGTTTAGGCCAAGATTTCTCCTTACGCATGACTCTAAAATTCATTCGGTGCGCCTGGAGGATTCGGTGCGCCATTTAAAAGTGTGTTTTTCATGTACCGGCTTTTCCCTAATAGTAGTGCACCCCGACGAGCCGAGTTGATGCCTATTTTACGGTTTCCAAAGTTTTCACAGAAGCTCAACACTCAAATCCCCCACTAGATCTCATCGTCAGCTACATTTCCCGACCTCACATCCATAGGTTCTGATAAGCGGTTCTCGAGATCTCGAGTAATTTAGGCGACCCTCTGGGTGCACTAGTATTAGAGAAAATATGGTCTTACTTCTTGAGCCCGCAAGCAACCAGTTTTATTTCATTGTGTTCTTGGAAATCTTTTTGTGAGTATCGATTCACATCAATGGTGGTTGTTCCCTTTTTGTGACAAGATGGGATTAAGCAATGAAATCGATGTAAAAGCTCGCTTCTCAACTCTCGATTCAAAGAGAAAAGGATGTACGCGTTGCCGAATTCGAAGGGAAAAAGCACATTTCAGACTGAAAATGTGTATGAAAACAGGAACAGGTTTTTCTTTGTCTTTCCTATTTCTTCTTGGGCAAAGCTGGACCCGATAGGGATTTTCGCTTGCTGTCTATTAAGCCCATAATTAATGCGCTTTAAAAGCCTGTAAAGGCCGAGTGCTGAAGAAATCTCTTTTTTTTTACCTCAAGCCTATTCCTTTTTATCAAAAATCTTTTGAAATATAGTCAAGTTTAAAAATTTCGGAAGAATTGATGACTTTTTGTTTACTGACTTTACTTACTTATTGACTTACTTTTTGAGAAATCATCGTGCAAACTTTTTTCACGAACTTTGCTTTCTTTCTTGTTAACCTAATAGTTCTGTCTGTTTTAACAAATCGCTTCCACCTTCAATTCTTACAAGCGCAAATTCTCTAGCTGTTTCTCATTTTATCTTACATTTTATTTTACTTTCTTGTCTTATTTATCTCATTTTACTGTGACTTGATAGTTTTTTTATGTACAGCATGTGTCATATCCACTCATACTCACTCTAAAGGGTATAGCTCAGTCAAAAGATAACCGATTCGCATTCGATTCATTTACAGATAAATTTTGAGTTGGTCTCCTTTAGCGGTGCTCATTATCTAACTGATAGGAGCTCACAAACTTTTCAAACAAGCTCCCAAAGTTGGGAGTCGCACTTGGCGCGCGATCTAGTTCTGTGGGTTTTGAAAAACGAGCTGCTCACTGAGAGGAGCTAAGTTTTTGTTAGTTTTCAATCAATAATGTTCAAATACGTATTTAAAAAATAAAAATTACGAAACGATTAAACGAAAACGTCAGTTCGCTTTTCTTTCTCGACTTTTTAAACACCTCTGAGCCCGGATTTCCATGAATCATAAATAAGCAGAATTTTGTTAATTTTGTGTGGGGATTTTCCCCGTAAACAATGACTGGAAGTTGAAAAACATCTTTTTAATAAATTTGGTGCAAAAATTTCCCAATCAGCTTTCAATGTCACTTCAAAAACTCCAGAACAAGGTCGGGCGCCATGTGACTCCCAACTTTGGGAGCTTGTTTGAAAAGTTTGTGAGCTCCTATCAGTCAGATAATGAGCACGGCTAAAGGAGACCCACTCAACATTTATCTGTAAAATTTTTGTGCTAATCGGTTATCTTTTGACTGAGCTACACCCTTTAGAGTGAGTATGAGTGGATATGACACACCCTGTAGATCATCAGTCTTTGTTGAATCAAATCTAGATCTAAAGCAAATCTATTGGGTTGGGGAGAATGAGTCGGCGCCGAAAATGAAAAAAATGTCTAAAACTTCTATTCGACTTCGTCAAATAATATGCGTTTGATATCAGTAGAATGGTTAACTAATTCTCTACAAAATGACATTTAAAAGAAAATTCAAACAGCGCCTCCGCTCAAGAAAAAGCCATTTTTTCACAAAAACTACAAACTGTCATCTAGAAAAAACCACTGGTGGGATCTTCCTGCAAATCTCTCAAAAGTCATTTTGTAGAGAAATAGTGGATCCTTTTGATGAAACCAAACGTATGTTTAAAGAAGGCTTTATGTGTGCAAAAAGTCCCTTTAAAGTTTGGCGCCGACTCATTCTCCCCAACCCAATAGATCTAAATCAAATCTAGTTCTAAATCAAATCTAGATCTAAATCAAATCAATAAATGTCGTCATTTTTGAGAGATCAACTTCAATTTCACCAGTAAACTCACAATTTCCGTCGTATCCTCCAATAAAATATCGGAATCGACTTGTGTCGCGTATAATTTCAGCGTTTGATAAACGATTATTGGAATCGTTGTTAGTGCGATTAGCTGAATCGTTTTCAAATTGGCTTTTGAAATTCGACTCACAAATGAATAAATGAATTGTCTTCCCTCTAAACATTTCAATTTGGCTTTCACCATTTCTAACTCCAAATTTCTCCAGAAATAAATCAATGCTAGATTGAGAAAGATGCAAATGAGACATGGAACAATGATGAGAGTCGTCGTGTAAATACGAATTACCTAAATTGTTCTTAAGAAAAATTTGAAAATTCGAGTTATTCTAATAAAAGCCCTCAGTTATTCTAATAAAAGTACAATCTGTTTGATCTGTTTGATCTATTTTTTTTGTCTTAAACGTGATCATATTCATTAAATAACTTCAAAAACGGCTCTCAAAAACCTTAAATTAGGTTTCTCGTCAGGTGTACCGCGGCTCTCCAACTTTGTAAGGTTATATAAAGATTCTGGAAGCAGCAATAAGTTAGAAAATTGTTTTGGCTACAGGAGATATACTCAAAAATCATCTCCAAAAATTTCATACGGATTCATTGAGTTCTCGCTGAGCTAGACCATTAGAAGTGAGTGGCTAGAATTCGCGGTCACCTTGTAGTTGACAGTTGGAATGTTCCACTCGCTGGCTTTCTCCACTTTACCCCCAGAGTCACTAAAGATCTTTGGATCTAAAGATTTAAAGATCTACAGTCACTAGAAATTACTAAAAATTCAGTACTTTATAAATTGAATACTTTATAGAGAATTTTTGCGAGCAAACTGTGTTGACTGAATAGAAATAGAGGCCAAATTCTTGGTGTTAGTTCATATCTAACAGATTCTAGAGTTACCAAAAAAAAAGAGTCAAAAGCCAAAGTTAACCAAGCCAAAGCAAGAAGCTTTCAATTTCAATGAAATTTCAACCTTTGAATTTGGTCTGAAGCCTTGGCTTTGACCTGGATATTGGCTCTTTACCAACTCTGACTAGCGAATTTTGTTAACTTATTAGGGCTTTTGACTCGGGAAATAGCCTATCTGCTGCAGTTTTTCACGCTGATTCCGAATCTGCAATCAGTTTTTGCCAAACGCTCCTCTATCGCGAGATATTTGGCATACAAGTTTTTCGGGTCTCTTTATGAGGGGTCCAAAAGGGCATACGCCCGGCAGACGCGCGCACTAACCACTACACCACTACACCACTACACCATCCAATACTTTAGGCCATTGGCATTGGCAATTGGCAATTGGCTACTCGTTTTCAATCATCACCAACCAAATCAAGCCAAAACGTATTGTAATTATAATTCTCGTCAGGCCATCCAAAAGCGATAAGCCAAACAAATCGATGAGATGAGAAAAGAACAGCACAAATAAGGCATTTTGCGAAGAAAATCGATGTGAAGGAGGATTTTGGAGTGAACTAAAGTAAAGTAGCGATTGAAAAATCGCTTATATTGGGTTGGTGAATTGAAAACTGCGGGCTATTGTCATATGTGACAGTTTGAGTACTTTCTTCAAAAGAAACCCATTTTGGTGTCAATGGAAGAGTTGTAGAGAATCAAAAATCAAGCTTATATCCAAAATTTCAGAACGATTCAAAAACTGGTTTTCAAGAAATGCGAAATTCACGAATTTTCACAAAACTTGCATTTTAAGCGAAACTACTAAGTGTATCTTTTTGGAAATTTGGCTATAAGCCTAATTTTTGATTCTCTACAACTTTTCTATTGACACCAAAATGGGTTTCTTTTGAAGAAAGTGCTCAAACTGGGCTGGCAGCTGACATCTCCAGTCCTCCATTTTTGAGTCTCACACTTGTCTCACACACAAACCAAAATCCTACTACGAAAGAGGAATCCGCAAATCCGCAAATTGCCTGTAAAATGGGCAGAAGTCGTCAATAATAATGGAAACTATTTGTAATGAAGTCATGGTTTTATGTTCAATAAATTTTAGTTCAAAGTCCCGCAGTTTTCAATTCACCAATCCAATAAAATGACAAAATTCAATAGCAAAATGGTACCTCAGTTGTTTGTTCCATCGGATCCCTGAGTACCATGAATTTCGTCAAATTCATTGACAACATTGTAATCTGAAAATGAAATTGCACAATTTTCCTTCATTTTTCCCTCAACCTGATGTCCGTTTTTGCAAATTTTCTGTAAAATTAGCACCATGTAGAAAGTTTTCACGGGAAAATTCAACGAGCGAACGATTGTTTGACCGATTGTTGTCAGAAAGCAAAGAATGTCAAAACAACCTGGAATTTGAATTTTTGAAAGTTGTAAAGTCGAATTTTCTTTTGCTTAGTTTAGGAAATATTCGAATTTTAGAATTTCATAGCTTTTTTACTTTGGCTCTGAACAAAAGTTTACTGAAAGCTTTGAAAGTAAAGCAAATGCTTAGCATCGTCGATGAAAAGGTGAAAAGGGAAGAGTATAGTTGAACTAGTTGAACTAGAGTTACGATAGGCACAAAGACAAAGACAATTTACTTCCTTACAAGGCAAAACATCAAATTTGAACAAGCATTGGACGTTGAACGTTTGATTTGAACGTTTTTAAAAGATACATTTATTGAAAACAAATAATGTGATACAAACAAAGGATACAGAATAAGACATAAAGCTCTAAACTTTATGGCATTACGGTCGTTACCCCTATTACCCTTATTACCCAAATGTTGTACTAGGCTTAGGTTTAGGCCGTTACCCTTATTACCCTTATTACTCAAATGTTGTGCTAGGCTTAGGCTTAAGCCGTTACCCTTATTACCCTTATTACCCAAATGCTGTGAAAGAAAAAACCCACTTGGTGGGAAAAAGAAACATTTTTATCTTTTCAGCCAAGCAGAGAGGCGGACTCGAAGTAGAGATGCTTCGCCCCGTATTCTAACCGAGTGCCACTCCGCTATCCTTGCGGCTCGAGATCCCTAGGAAATCTGCTTATAAACTCGGGGTCGGTTTTTGTCACACCCCAAACTTAAATCCCGTACAATACTTTGCCGACTTATAGCTTTTGACAGAGTGCTCTATAGCAGAAACGGAAAGCAGATTCGGAATCAGCGTAAAATTCTGCATCTGGTTTCGATCATTTAGGCACCATGTCCAGTTGAAATTCCCTTGTTATTTCATCTACTCTAAAACTCAAAAAATCTTACCCAAAACAATGCACTCTTTATAGTAGCTTCCTTCAAGAAAACGATTCCTCGGGAAAAACAAGCAGAAAATAATTGTTGAATAGAAAATGAGAGAAATGAATTGAATGATGCGAAGAGGAATTCCTTGAAGATTCATTATTGTATAATCATATTGACTGATTTGGTAGTTCATCGTAGATTAACTCATTTGTAGAAAAATCAAAACTGAAAATTAGCTCTGAATCAAAGCTGAAAATTAGCTCTGAATTAAATCTAAATCTTTTTAAAAAAAGGAAAAAATATTGGGTTGTCCAGTTATGAATGCGCGTTTTTTACTATTTTGTAAATTTCTCAAGACACCGAAATCAAGAAAAAGATATATATGAGTATTATTCGAAAACTGAAGATCTCCTCTACATTTTGATATAAAAAGTTTTTGAATTTGTTCAGCTTTTGGGAAAATTGACTGCACAGAAGAAGAGGTGGCCAAAAAATGGAAATGTGCCTTTGGATTTAAGTTTTGGCTCCGCTCAAATTGAGTTAACCGTTTGATGTTTGGCCAATAGATATATCAATACAACTTTTTTTAATATAACAATTTCAGAGCATCTTTACTTTTCTTTTCTTTTCTGGGCGGTTATTTTACACCATAAAACTTGAGGAATAGCTCAGCTGGGATGGATTTTTTCGAAAACGACCTCTCCCTTTGTGCAGTCAATTTCCCAAAAAGTTGAATGAATTCGAAAACTTTTTTATTCCAAAATGTAGAGGAGATCTTCAGCTTTCGAATGATATATATGTTACGTCCGAATCCATCTCTGAGTCGGACGTCCATCTCTGAGTCGGACGTCCATCTCTGAGTCGGACGTTCATCTCTGAGTCGGACGTTCATCTCTGAGTCGGACGTCCATCTCTGAGTCAAACGTCCATCTCTGAGTCGGACGTCCGTTTCAGTGGAGAATGAATCTCCTCAGATTCGGACGTAACATATATAACACTCATATACATCTGTTCGATATCTTGAGAAATTTACAAAATCGTAAAAACGCGCATTCATAACTGGACAACCCAATAGAAGAATCACTTTTTCAAGTGTTGCCTGAATTTGAGTCAATAAAGGAAATTTTTTTATAATGAGAACTATTTTAGAAAGTTTTGCGCACGTTTCCAGTCTCAATCGGAAGGAAATTGTGTTGTCTCGGCTAACAAATTACAATTTCTCTCATTCGACGCAAAGTCTTCACAAATTGCCTGTTTCAAGAAATATGATGACTTTCGAAAATAGTTTTTTATAATCTTTGGCTTTCAATTTTTATTTGCAAATAATCAAGAAAAACAAGTTGACTTAGAGAAACAAATTTTCATGTTTAAGCTCCTAAGGGTGTCTACTTCTTATGTTCATACCGTAAATACTGTAATAGTACCCCACCCCCATAATGACGGTGCGGAGTGTTGCGTAGTCTAGCTTTGAACTAGTTTTTCTCGACACTGGTTTATGCTACAATGCGCGCTTAGGTATCAAAAAATAGCCCTGAATTTCAGCTATTTTTTGATACCAAAGACGCATTTTTGAAAGTGCGGGCGCTTTGAAAAAAAATGAAATACCAAAAAAACTTTTGCGACTACGCGACTGTACGAGGGGGACGGGGTACTATTACAGTAATTACGGTAGGTCACTTTTGTCTAAGCACATTATCTAGAGAATTTGCGGCTAAAATGTAAGGATGGATTATTTCTTGTATAAGGACATCGTTTCTATGTTATTTGTATTCGGTTACTTTTGTTATTATGAAAATGAATTGTTTTAAAGATCTCATCAGAAAATCCTGCCAAAATAAGAAAATTTATTAAATTAAAATTTCACTTTAGTAAACCCGATTTCAGGAAACTGTACAAGGGGGTAAAATTCCTAGACTGTGGTTATTTGGCAGTGGCAATGAATGAGATTTGATTTTTGTGACGAGGAGATGGTCAAACGATGTATAAGGACCCTGTATAAGGACAAAAAGCATTTAACACCAAGTTTTTTAAATATAGAAATTTCTGTCAAGTAGAAATCAATTCTTTTAGACAAAAAAGAAATGATTGAAAGAAAATTTCATGAGCAACATGACAAAGACTCTTATGAAAGAAAGAATTTTTGAAAGAAACAATTCAATTGTCGGGAGAAATCGTGAAGCTTTTGCATGAATTCATAAGACCAAAAAAACACTTTGCACGACGTCAAATTTCACTTTAATACATACAGTACTGGACAATGAAATATGATATTTGAAAAACGATCGTCACTTTCGTGAGGGTTAGTGAGGGATTTTAAAATTGAGTTCAAAAGTAGATAGTTTTTCATTATCTTTATTGTGATGAGCTGTGGGAAAAATTGAAATTCAGATGTCGATTATCTCTTCCGAATTTCGGCTGAGAATGCAATGGGCGCCGGTCCGCCAGTCGAGACATCGGCCACCATCAAATTGCCCAAGAAAAGTGGTATGTTAAAGATTTACATTTATAAATATTCATACAAGTTTCTACTATAAATAAAATTGAAATTGAAATATTTGAAATATACATTTCTTCTGTAAATATTTCAAATAACTTATTGTGGAATGTTTTAAAAGCAGACGCACAACGCGACACAACGAGGAGGTACAGTAAATTCAGCGTAAAAACATATTAGAAGGAGGGAGTCTCACTAGGAAATGTTGTTAACTTATCGTGGTTTTTGACTGGAAATAGACATGGAAATAACCTACAGTACTGGACAATGAAATATGATATTTGAAAAACGATCGTCACTTTCGCGCCTCTGTAACTCCCTTGTCTTTGAGTTTAAACTATTAGTGTTATACATTTTCTGAAAGCTCTTTTCAAGGGCTACACAATGGTAATACTAATATTTAGAAATACCGTATTTTTTGAAGCATTTCAGCGCGCGCGAAAGTGACGATCGTTTTTTTTTTTGTTTTTTAGATCTTGAAATTTTAACCCCAAATGATCTTGAAGCTCTAGTGGATCCCTGACGTTATCTGTGCTACCCATAAATTACATACCGTAATTACTGTAATAGTACCCCGTCCCCCTCGTACAGTCGCGTAGTCGCAAAAGTTTTTTAGTATTTCATTTTTTTTCAAAGCGCCCGCACTTTCAAAAAAATGCGTCTTTGGTATCAAAAAATAGCTGAAATTCAGGGCTATTTTTTGATACCAAAGCGCGCATTGTAGCATAAACCAGTGTCGAGAAAAACTCGTTCAAAGCTAGACTACGCAACACTCCGCACCGTCATTATGGGGGTGGGGTACTATTACAGTGTTTACGTTATATTATATCGTGTTGCTTTTTATTGGCCCTTTTCGTGTTATGTGTATGAATTCATGTGTATTAATCTTAAATCTAGCGCACTTTATCTCGGGTCCTGAATAAAGTATCTACAGTACTGGACAATGAAATATGATATTTGAAAAAAGATCGTCACTTTCGCGCGTCTGTAACTCCCTTGTCTTTGAGTTTAAACTATTAGTGTTAAACATTTTCTGAAAGCTCTTTTCAAGGGCTACACAATGGTAATATTAATATTTAGAAATACGGTAAAGACAAGGGAGTTACAGACGCGCAAAAGTGATGATCTTTTTTCAAATATGGTACATCATTGTCCAGTACTGTATTCAAATTGTTTTTTTTTTTAATTACTCAAAGAAAATAGTTTAATTCTGCAAACAAAAAGCTTTCAAGCTTTTCAATTCCACATACGCTTTTCCCATTTCAAGAATAAAAAATATTTATCATAAACCACACAAAAATAGATTCAAACTGCACAACCCGTGAGTCACTAAACTATTGTAAAAAAAAATGCTATACAATGCTATAGTATATAAAGAAAATTCGAAATTCTAGAGTCAGAGCGACTCAAATCGTTGGAAGATAGCTTCTATTCGTGTTATTTTGATTGTTTTCTTTTGAATGATGATGCGCTGGCTGGGTTTTCATCGCGAAACGAGCTGCATCGCTTTGAGCTCCATTCAAATATGGGAGATAATTTGAAGTGATCGGGGACTGCAATTTGAATTTGAACTGCAACTCACATAAGCAATTCGATGGTAGAGTGTGTACAACAAGCTCGATTTTGCATTTCAATCAAATTACTGTTAAATACTGCACATGCAGATTGATTAGGTTTTGAAATGAATTTAAGTTATGAAGTCAAATAAAAGATTCCAGCTAAGGATCTAATTATTGAAAGAATCAAATGAGTTTGTCTAACGTTTCTTTTTGGATTTTTCTCTCTCTCTCTCTCTTTCTTCCTTTCTTTCTTCTTCCTTCCTTTCTTCTTCCTTTCTTTCTTCTTCCTTCCTTTCTTTCTTCCTTGTCTTTCCTATTTCTTCCTGGACAAACAAGGCACCGGTAGCTCAGTGGTAGAGCATCTGCCCGATAAGCATAAGGTTGATGGTTCAATTCACCCTTTCCGAAGTTTAATTCGTTGTTAAGTCTAATTCGTTGTCTAATTCGTTGTCTAATTCGTTTCCCCATCAAAGTTGATAACTTTTTAAGATATAGACCATTTTCAGTAAACTCTTGACATTTTAGGGGATTAATGTAGCTTATTACTGTCCGTAGACACTTTAGAATACTTAAAAATCTATTTTTCTACCTTAACAAAAAAGTGGAAAAAAATTGGAAATGAGGGGAATCGAACCCGGATCAAACCGCTCGAGGCGCGAGCACACTATCCACTACGGTAGCCGGTTGTTATTTTCAGGGAAGTAATTCGACCGTATATCGCGGCGGCGCCGTTTTTCCAAACTTCAAAAGCATTTTCTTTGTAAAGTTTGTATTGAAAATTGTATGTAAAATTGAAAAACACGTGTCCCTTAAAATTTTAAGAGTTTTGAGATCGTTTTCATTTCCCAACTCGAGTTGAAACGCTAGTAAGCCTAAAGATTTAAATATCTAAAAGCCTAAAGATAAAAATATTCAATCTTAGTAGCTTGAGCTACTAAGATTGAATATTTTGAGCTAAGAGCCTGAGCCTGAGCTGAATGCCTGTAGGCAACTGTAGTAAAAGAAGCTCTTTTGCATGACTCTTAAACTTTCTCACCTTTTTCGATGTCGGCGTTAGCGGCTCTTCTTTCACTTTCAATTGATAGCCCTGAACAGAAATTGAAAAAAGGATTATAAAAAATTCTTTTATCATTACCTTTAAATAATCATGAGCCAACAATTCAGTGCACGACCATCTCTTCTCCGGATTCATATCAAAGCATTTCTGAAATAAATTGTAAACAAATATTGATCAATATTGATTTACCAATAAGAAATCGATTTGAGTGCTCGTAGCATTTGGTAATTTCATCGTTAACGGCTCTTCCGCATCCGCTTCGGGAATCGTTAAGCCATAGAAAAATTGATTGGAACGGAAAATGGAGAGATGTCGAGGCAGGAATTCGCCTGAAACGGCTCTTCGGTAAAAGTGAAACTTGTAATCTTTTTGTTATTCTTTTTTCTGATTCTGATTGATTCTGATTCTGATTGATTCTGATTCAGCTCTTTTCAATTACTTGGAGATGAGTAATCAAAAGGAACGAAGCTCTTTCTATCATGCCAAAGCTTTGGCACGATAGAAATATCGTGCCAAAGCTCTTTCTATCATGCCAAAGCTCTTTCTATCATGCTCTTTGCTTTCTTTTATCATGCCAAAGCTCTTTCTATCATGATTTCATTGTATGATTGAAATTTTACCAACCAATACTCTTCCGAATGAGATACAATTGATCGATATCGCTTCTTCCTGGCCATAAAGCTTCACCTAAAGTTTAAAAATTGTTGATAGCCTTGATTGCCTTTTCTTAATCAAAAAAAATGTTAGCTCTTTTCCGTTATCGAGAGTTTTCGAATGAGTAACCGTGCTTTGAAAGTTATAACTTTAATTAGAGATATGTTATTGTTAACTTTTATATAGTTTTAGAGAACACAGTTCTATCAATTTTATACAAAGTACAACCAAATTAAAGGCAAAAAAAACTGTTCCCAAAGGTTTGGGCAAAACAAGCCGGCTCATTCGCTCACCGCTCCTTTCCCTTTAAGGATTGCAATAGGCAAGTACCTGATACCAGGTCCTCTCTGCCATATTAAGGGCTGGTATGACTAATTTCTCCGGTATTAGCAAGTGAAATCAGCTTTGCAGATGAGTTTCAAGCTTGAGTCTCGCGGCTACTTTTGGCTTAACTGGGGTATTGGGCCTTCAAAGTCCACATAAATAGCTTTGATTTTGAGCTTGCATTTTGAGCGAAACTAGTAAGTTGAGCCAAACTACTAAGACTTAACAAAAAAGCGGAAAAAAATTGACAATGAAAGGAATCGAACCAGGATCAAAGGTCTCGACGCGCGAGCATACTATCGTTTCGCTCAAAGTGTATCTTTTTGGAAATTTGGCTATAAGCCTAATTTTTGATTCTCTACAACTTTTCTATTGACACCAAAATGGGTTTCTTTTGAAGAAAGTGCTCAAACTGGGACACTGGGACAGCTCCAGTCCTCCATTTTTGAGTCTCACACTTGTCTCACACACAAACCAAAATCCTACTACGAAAGAGGAATCCGCAAATTGCCTGTAAAATCGGCAGAAGTCGTCAATAATAATGGAAATTATTTCGAATGAATCGATGGTTTTATGTTGAATAAATTTTAGTTCAAAGTCCCGCAGTTTTCAATTCACCAACCCAATATATAAGCAAACGATAATATCTCTTTAAACAAAGTTCAAAGCATGGCTACTCATTCGAAATTTTAGTAACAGATCAAAAAGTTTCATAACAAACCGGTGATCATTTCCGCGAACACACAACCGATTGCCCAAATGTCAACTGGCGGACCGTATTGGGTATCGCCCACAAGCAACTCTAGAATCACACTTGTATAACTTACAATTAAGAGGGTTTAAGAAGTAAAAAGTCATCTAGTCATACCTGGACTTCGATACCATCTAGTTGCCACGTAATCCGTGTACATCTCGTTTGTATCTAAAGAAGAAATTGTAATGAAAATAGTGGCTATTTTTAAAAAATGCCCTACTTTTCGGTTGTTTAAAGCTTACTTATAATTCTCGCAAATCCAAAATCAGCTAGCTTCACCACATCGCTTTTCGTCAACAAAATGTTCTCTGGTTTCACATCGCTGAATTTTTTTTAAGGTTTGCCATGAATTTAAATGTTTTCTTACCGGTGAATACAATTGTGAGCGTGACAAAATTGAACGGCCAACAATAATTGATAAAGAACTTTCTTTGTGAGATCCTCAGGTACTCTAAAAATAAAATTTGCCGAACTTGCCGAGTTCGCTGAGTGATTTTGATTTAAAAGCCAAATTTGCAGTAAGCTATCAGATTTTGGGAAACAAGATCGTTGTCAATGTTTAAACAAAAGTTTTCCTAGTTCAGGCTAGTTCAGGCTAGTTCAGGTCAGGCCACATTTTGGCCACTCTTTGGCCACTCTGGCCACATTTTGGCTGGGCCTTTTTGTTGGCAGCTTTGATTGGCTTTTGATTGCCTTTTGACTGACTTGAAACTGGTCCATTGAATAGTAATATCGCTGTTTATTTTCAAGGGAACTCACCCATTCGGATTCTTTTCCAAATCGTGAAGCACTGTTCGATCACAGTGCTCAAATACCAAATGCAATTTTCGATTTCTTTTAAAAACTTCAATGAGACACACCAAGTTCGGGTGTTTCAATTGCTAAAATCATTTGAATAAACTAATATTTCAAATCCAAATCGACCTTTAACATTCGGATCTCTCGTAGTGCGATCTTTTTGATTTGTGGATCATCTTCGGTTTCGAAGAATTTCTTGATAGCAACGATCTGAAGGATAAGAAAAGGATAAGAAAGTGAGTAATTGTGTTAAACAGACAGGCAGTTCAGTTTCAGTTTAAACAAATTCATGTTAAACTTTAGAATATTGCTCTAGCTAGTCGTAGAACTTTGGTTAATCTAGCAATCATTGGTTAATCTAACAAGTCGTAGAACTTTGGCTAATCTAGCTCTAGTTGAGTTTCTGATTTTAACGGTTTTAAATCAAAGCAAAGCTCTTTTAGCGTTTTTAGCACATTCGCGATCAGCCATAACTCCGCCCCTTTTTTGGTCCGTTTGCCGTTGGCAATCCACGAATTTTTCCTCGAAACTTGACTGGGTTTCTTTGAAAAACGTTGAATTTTGATTTCATTTAATAGAAAATTTGATTTTGAGTCGAATGAAAACAAATTCAACGTTTTTTCAAGCAAACTCGACTAAGATACGAGCAAAATAGATTGCCAACGGCAAACGAACCAAAAAAGGCGCGGAGTTCAAAAATGTCTGTTCGCGATGACGGCTTTTTGAGCGTAAAGTCGCGTAGTCTACTGTTTTACTGATAATTTGGTGAAAATCTAAAGATAAACTAAACTATTGTAGTCATTCGATAGCCCTGAATCTCCTCTTGAAAATTAGCACAAAGTTACCAAGAACTTTCTACAAAATGAATAACAAAATCCTTAAAAACGAGTTGTCACCAAAAAAATCGTCATTAGTACGATCCCAAATATTGTCGTGAATGTGTTAAATCTGAAGATGTCTCCCCTTTTCATTCATTCTCCTAATCATCAAACGTTTGGAGAAAAATCGTTTGTAAACTTTTTCTAAGCTCCTTTCTGATTCGAGCAAGCTTTAGGCCGTCGTAACCCGTAAAGTTGTTGCTTGATTTTTATCTTTTACAGTCTTAGTTACTGTGATATCAACTAGCCTAGAGATAGGAAGAGTAAAAAGATTTATAAAGGTTAAACTTATAGAGATTTGAGTCAAAGGTTACGGTAGTTTGAGCATGCTCTTCTTGAACAGAATTGGCGTTTGGAGAAAGTGTAATTGAAAGGAAATTGTTCACAAATTTGGCGGTATTTTGAGCGTACAGTCGCGTAGTCTACCGTTTTACTGATAATTTGGTGTCAATTCAAAGATAAACTAAACTATTCTAGTCATTCGATAGCGCTGAATCTCCTCTTGAAAACTAGTACAAAGTTATCGAGAACTTTCTACAAAATGAATAACAAAATCCTTAAAAGCTTGAGTTAGCCCCAGAAATCTTCGTCGTTAGTAGTATCGTCGTAAGCATGTTAAGAATTTCTTTGAAATCCTTTCCTCACCTGTCCCGTGTCTCGATTTCTGCACTTGAACACGACTCCATACGATCCTTCACCAATTTTCCCCAATCTCTCGTATTTTTCCATCATCTCGGAGCGTCGGCGAATGCTTCTGCAAAAAGATTTATCAATTCAATGAGTAAACTTTGGTAAGATTTCGATTTAGCTTTAGCGATTTAGATTTAAGTAAGCTTGACATGGTTTTTTTTGGATAAATTCAACAATTGATTATTGACAACAATTGATTCAACAGCAATTGATTCAACAGCAATTGATTCAACAGCAACTGATTCAACAACAATTGATTCAACAACAATTGATTCAACAACAATCAACAACAACAACTTTTAAGCGCTCAGAATGAAATTTGATTGAAAAGATTTATCAGAAAACAATTTAACGCAAAAACACCAAAGGAAAGGAGAAAAAAAATGGATAACAACAGGTTATTTTTCGGGTTTTCGTTACAATTTCTCCTTTTTTTTCCCTTCAAATACAGATTCTTCTTTTCGGGATAAAAATTTTTCGTTTCCATGACAATTCAAGTCAACAGCTTGGAAAAAAAAGAGGGAAATTTGTCTAAGCAAAGAGAAAAAGAAAAAAGAAAAATTCGAAGGGAATAGGGAATCGACAATTTGTAGGAAATTGAAGTTACGTTTTAGTTTTTTAGTTTTATAAGTGATTTATATTGACGTGAGAAAATGGGGGAAATTGGAAGTGATTACTCATCTTTAAAAGTAAACAATAAGAATTTAGAAATGAAAAGCTATTCAGTCTTTTGGGCTATTCAGTCTATTCAGTCGTAAAGGCTTTACGTTTTGCCTTACTGAATAGGGATCACTTGCCGATACCAAATTAGGGATTCCAAGCATTTCAAAATATCTTTTCACACGAATAATTTGGTACAAGGAATACACAAGCACAATTCTAAGCACACAACCCTGAGCCCTAATAGAAGAAAAAACCATAGGGAAGAAAAAACGTATATAGATTGATAAAAAGAAACGATAGCCGGTGGAATTGAACCCTTGACCTTCTGATTAACTAGGGAAATGCACGAAATTCTCGTGAGCTTTCCAGATCACATACATCTTACTAACAAGGGAAGTTTAGCTGGCTGAGCCGGCCAAATGACATGCAAATTGCACCATTCGAAGCAGGATTTCACGTTGATTCCGAATCTGCTTTTCTGTTTTGGCTGAACGCTATTCTGGCAGGAGTTATCAGCGTCTAAAGTTTTGTTAAGACTCTGAAAATATAGGTTTTTGAGTCTTAGGCACCTTCTGCGTGGCCTCGATTCTGGTAGACCGTGGCCGTGCCGGTAGAGCGTCTGTGTCCGAGGCCAAAGATCAAAGTTTGATTAAACTGTGATCTCGGAAGCTGGTCGATGTCCGAGAACACAAAGAACGCGTTTTCACATTGGGGAATATAAGCAAAAAAAAATCCGAGACGGGGACTCGAACCAGACGCTCTACCGGCCGGCTACCAGAATCGAGACCGCGCAGAAGGTGCCTAAGACCAAAGAACCTATATTTTTAGAGTGCTAACAAAACTTCAGATGCTGACAACTCCTGCCAGAATAACGTTCGGCCAAAAAGGGAAAACAGATTTGGAATCAATGTGAAATCCTGGGTCGAATGGTACAAGTTACATGTCATTTGGCCGCCTCAGCCAGCTGACCTTCCCTTGTAAATCAAGTATGGAGATTCATAATAAGCTTGCAGACGCGTAAAAATTTAATTGAAATTTCGAAGATAAGCTTGAAAGAGTGCTTTTCAAACACTGGAATATGGGATATTTAAAGCAAAAAAAAATCAAAATATGGGAACGGGACCGAACTCCGATCTTACGACCGAGAGACCGCTCCACTATCCACTAGGCCACCGGTGCGCATATCGCACTGATTGAAAAGCACCCTTTAAAGCTTCATTTCAATTTTCTTCAATTCTTTAAATTCTTTAAAGCTTCGAAATTTCAATTTAATTTTTACACGTTTCCAAGCTTATTTTGACGGATTTTGATTTCAGATTATGAATCTCGATACTCTATTTGGTAAGCTGTAAAGCTCACGGGAAGTTCGTGCCTTTCCCTAGTAAAATACAAGGCTCATAGCCAGTCGGCAGATTTGGTGAAAACTGGATTTGCTTAATTAAAATTGAAGAATACTCCATAAAAAACACTTCTTAAGAAAAGACTTGAAGTGACAGTAAACACTAATGCTGACAGCTTGGCCTTTAAGACTTTAGGAAATTTTTGCTGATTCAACCCACCCCTCACGTTTCGCTGGTGTTCCTGGCTCCTTTTTTGCCATTAAAACTTATCTCAAATATGAATAAACTTCTAGAATGAGTTAAATGAAAGCTAAATGAAATTCTGAATCATTGAAACATTTTTGTGGCCAGCTTTTGAGCAGCTGAAAGTTGAGCGCTGATAAACTAATCACAAGAACTACAGGAAGTACAATGAAGAATTGTGAAATATTGATTGGGAAAGAATTTAATGTAAAGTGTACAAGTGAATGAAAACTAAACTAATCTAAGCGGAAAACGCTTACTAAAGTTCGCCTTTTCCACTGGGTAGGTTCACGTTGTTCATGCAATCTAGGCGCACCCCTTTTTGCCAGTGACTGCGCAGAGATGGACAGACAGACAGACAGACAGACGGACAGACGGACAGACGGACGGACAGACGGACGGACAGACAGACGGACGGACAGACGGACGGACAGACAGACGGACGGACAGACAGACGGACGGATGGACAGACGGATGGGCAGACGGATGGACAGACGGATGGACAGACGGATGGACAGACGGATGGACAGACGGACAGGCAGACACTTCTGCTTAGATGATAGATCCTCATCCAAACCCACCTTGCCGCAGCTGTAGCGTGAACAAGCCTTTCAATTGTGTATGCAATGGAATATTCAAGTGAATGCATGGACGAATTTTGATCAAATTTTGTTCAATCTGTTTACAATCGTTAATAACAGGCTTAATCTTTCTTTTGGACAAAAGGCCAACTATTGGATACACAATAATATTGCCAAGAAAAACCCGTTTTTTTTTTCGTTTTAAACTTCAAGATTTCATCAGTACTAATTTCTTCACACCCATCAAAAAAAGAATGAAAACATTGGAGAAGCAAAGAAAAACGTAATTATTTTTGGGGTTTTTAGGTGAGAAAATTGCTGTCGCTGGGAAATTTGTGTTGATTTTGAGGTCTTTTCGTTTTTTTTTATAGGAAATAGTACATTTTGCGGGAAAATTCTCATAGTGAGACTAATTGACTTTTGTCTTTGTCTTTAGTACTTTGTCAACTAGTAACTGCTCTTAAAATAGACGCAGTTTTTTAAAAAAATAGCTTATTTGTATCTTATTTGTTTTATTGTGAAATGAAGAATACGGGCACGGAGGAGAGTGGTCAAAAGAGTGTTTTAAGGGCAGAACAGGTAAGGCTAGGCTTTGCTTGGCCCTAGCGTTCGGTTGGTTGACAATAAACAAACGCCATATTTTAGCCCTTAAAAGTAAGTCGAGTTTCAAATAATATTGGGTATGAAATGGCGGCGTCTTCGGACGAGCTTTTGAAAAAACTAAATTGTTCATCTGAAGACGTCCGAAGTAAACTATAGTTCATCCGAAGACGTTCAAACTTAACTAAAGCTTATCCGAAGAAGTCCAAACTGAACTAAAGCCCATCCAAAGACGTTCAAACTTAACTAAAGCTCATCCGAAGAAGTCCAAACTAAACTAAAGTTCGTCCGAATATACATTTCATAATCCTCAACTCAATAGAAAGATGTTCTTTCATAAGTTGTTGCTGGGAAAACAAAAGAATGATGAGAACCGAGATTCATACCCGATTACCGCTTTACCAATGAGTTACAACGTTTCCCAAAGTCCAGGCCTTTTTCATTTACTTACCTTCCTTTTTGCCTTACTGCCTTTCTAACTTCCCTACTTCACGTACTTCACCAATTTTAAAAACTTACACAAAAACGGATCGAATAAGATCATTTGTATCCAACAAATAATCAAGTGTGTGCTCATGGCCATTCAGGCTCATCCAGTGATTGTTTAAAGGAGGAATTGTGAAAATAGAGATTGAATCAATAATGGAGTGAATCTTTGAAAAGATTTTGACGCAAAAGATATGAAATTTTTTGTAGACGAGAAAATGAGAGGATTTGAATGGACTTGGGGGGTTTAGGCATTCCATTTAGAAGCCCTATTTCAATTGGAAATCCCGAAAAGATGCTCGACACACGCAAAATAAATAAAAATTTGCGGTATTCTATAATTATTGGTGCTGGATTTGAATTTTAAAAGCAGTTAATCTAGTTTGGGGGTTTCTATCTTTCAATGCTTGAACTGGAAACTGTGATTTGGCGTTCAGTATTCGACTTCTTTTCAGTAGATTAACTACCAAGCGCCAAGTTCAACCCTAATCTGTTAAATATTATGTAAAATATTGAAGCCCTTAGTCTTAGCGACATTTATTTATTAAATTTTAGATTTTAAATAGATTTTTCAATTGAAAACAGGTTTAAATAGGTGAGCGCGATGAGCGTTTACCTCCAGCGCACTTACAATGCTTCTTTGAAGAGCTAGGTGGCTTTGCTCAGGATGGTTTAGATCTAGAAATGTTCCCCAGGGTTTCAGCTTTAAAATACTATATACCGTATTTACTCTATTAGTGGGGTCCCCCACTATTTTTTCAATCCCCTTCCAGACGACCCCACTATTAGAGAGGACCCCACTATTAGAGAGGACCCCACTATTAGAGAAATTTAAAAGAACATAAAACCAAAGTTTTAAATTGAAAAGATATAAATTTTTCTCCGAAATTCTTGACAAAACAAGTTTGGCTTCATATTTTATTTAGCTTTAACCGTAACAAAACATTAACAAACAGTAAAAGAACTAATCCAAGAGATCAACAATTGATGTATCACTTTCGTTACCAATATTAGAGAGGACCCCACTATTAGAGAGGACCCCACTAATAGAGTAAATACGGTAGTGAATTCAATTTTGATCTGGGTTTTAGCTAAAAAATCGAGCCTCTTTTGTAAAGTGTAAAGAACTCTTTGATCACCCTGTAGTACTCATTCAAGAGCTTGTAAAATGAGTTGTATATCTCCAATCAGGAAACTTTTAATAGAGAAATGTAGCCAAGATTAAGGGCTTTAATATTTATATAAGTTTTAACAGATTAGGGTTAAACTTGGCGCTTGGAAGTTAATCTACTAAAAAGAAGTCGCAGTAAATACCGAAAGTAGCTCGAAGTCCAAAAATTGATAAAATTTATTATTTTTGGCAACAAATGACTTTTGTTTTCTAAAATATGAACTTTCTTTCAGATCTCCATTCCAGAATGCAAATCATTCACTAAAAAAGAAAAAAAAGCGGTTCATTGCAAAACTAGCAACGATTCAAAATCTAAACCAAAGCTGAGACTTTTTCATGAGTCATGAGTCAATCAACTGTTACAATACAATGCTTACATTGTTGGACTTACAAAATCCCTACCGATTAGCAAAGAAGAGATTGTTCTCAAGTGCCAAAAGGGTTTCCATTTGGTGAGTGTTCATATCGGATCCATCTCTGAAATCGATCTTTTCGGAAATTTGGGTCTTTTCATTGTAAAAAGCTATCATATGCAAGACGTCAAAGCTAATTTAATTCTTTTTCACATCAACATTCTCCAACTACGAGATAAAACACTTTATCTAGTCGATCCATAAGGGTATTGGATTTGTAGAGAAAATTCAGGGTGAGGCAATATATTGGGTTGGTGAATTGAAAACTGCGGCCTATTTTCATATGTGACAGTTTGAGCACTTTCTTCAAAAGAAACCCATTTTGGTGTCAATGGAAAAGTTGTAGAGAATCAAAAATCAAGCTTATATCCAAATTTTCAGAACGATTCAAAAACTGGTTTTCAAGAAATACCAAATTTACGAAACTTTCACAAAACTTGCATTTCAAGCGAAACTACTAAGTGCATCTTTTTGGAAATTTGGCTATAAGCCTGATTTTTGATTCTCTACAACTTTTCTATTGACACCAAAATGGGTTTCTTTCGAAGAAAGTGCTCAAATGCTCAAACTGGGACATCTCCAGTCCTCCATTTTTCAGTCTCACACTTGTCTCACACACAAACCAAAATCCTACTACGAACGAGGAATCCGCAAATTGCCTGTAAAATGGGCAGAAGTCGTCAATAATAATGGAAATTATTTGGAATCAATTGATGGTTTTATGTTGAATAAATTTTAGTTCAAAGTCCCGCAGTTTTCAATTCACCAACATAATAGATCAAAATTTTCTATCATTCGAAAGCCAGGTGTCTTCTAGCTATATAAGCAAATGATTATGTTTTTTTGAGTTTCTCGATATTAAGAACCCAATTAATCAAAACTTTTTAGCAGTCAGAAACTAATCCGCGCATGCTAGTACTCAAATATCCAGTTCTGACTTGTAACAACTATGGGACATCTCGGAAAAGGCAACAGTTTATCAAGTAACAACAATATAACAACATTCAATAATGTGTCTGAGCACCGTTTTTTTTTTAGTAAGCTCAAAGAGCCGTGAAAGTTTTTCGATTCAATCCGCAAATCATTTCTAGCATCTCTAGGAAAAGCCAAAAAAAAAATTTCGCGAATTTTGTTGTTCTCGTTGCTATTGTTAAATTGTTTAGTCAGCTAAACTATTTACAAATAAAAGTAAAACATTTCTATTTTTACAATACTTTAAAAACAAACTTTCTCGTAATAATCGGATCTTTCCAAGGTTTAGAGTGATGCACAGGATAAGTCGAAGCTGTTGATGGAACTTTGTCAAGTGACTGAAAAAAATGAGCTTTTAAGCTAAAAGAGCTTTTAGAAGAGCTAAAAGAAAATTCTATTAGATTGATTCTGTTGGATTTCTTTTCTTTTCTTTCTTTTCTTTCTTTTCTTTCTTTCTTTTCTTTTCTTTTCTTTTCTTTCTTTTCTTTTCTTTATTACATAGAAATCTTCTTATTTCTTCCGATTGAATAGATCTAAATGGAAAGAAAGATTAAATGAAAAGAAAAGAAAAGACAATGGAAACAAAATTTGTCTTTCATTCTTTCATTTGAGATTTGCGGGATTACCTAAAATCAAAAAGAAAATGGGGTATTTGAAGAGAATTTCATGTACCATTCAAAGCAATTTAAACAATTTCAAATTCAAGCACTTACCCCGAAAGACCAGCTACTGTTTAGACTGGAGTGGTTTGCTTTGAGGTAACTTGGTGGCTCTCTTGATGGCGATCGGCTCAGATCACTGTCCGATCTAAAAAACAAATCATCATTTATTTCCTTTTGTGAAAGAGTCGATGTAGAACTCTTTTTTATGTATTCTGGAATCTTGCTGAACACTTTTTATCGACCTGAGCGGCAATAGATGATGCGGCGGAGGACCCAGCTTTGATGAAGGGATTGTGTCACGGCGGAAATCCCTAGAAATTCGATCATAACTTTTAAGGAATCAAATTTCGCTAAGTTTTGCAGAGTTTCGAAATTTCGGATTTTTAAACCTCGTATTTGTCTGTTGATTCCTCAAAAGGGTGGTCCGGGTCGAGCGCACGACGAGCAATGGACTTTTCTGATGGCGGTTTGGCGTTATGATATTTGGAGTCCTGTTATAGTTTCCAGATTACATTGAACTTTTACAACTTAACGTAAATAAATTTAGATTGTTAGATTGCCAATGAAAAAAAGGGCGCGGAGACGGACCTTTTATACGCACTGCCACAAGCAATCCAACTTTGAGCTCAAATATCTTCATGTTGGGATGTCCAATTTAAATATTCTTGGTGTCATTGGATGCGCCAAGTCTTTCTCTATCGATTGGTACAAAAACTATTTAAATTGGGCAGTCCAACACCAAGAAATTTGAGCTCAAAGTTAGATTGCCAATGGCAAAAGGGGCGGGACCCGGAACCTTTTATAGGCGCTCCGCCTTTTATAGGCGTTCAATTTAAATAGTTTTTGTACCAATCGATAGAGAAAGACTTGGCGCATCCAATGACACCAAGAATATTTAAATTGGATATCCCAACACCAAGAAATTTCAGCTCAAAGATAGATTACCAATGACAAAAGCGAGGGGCGAATATCAAATGTCCGATAACCGTTAAAAACAGCACACAAAAAAACACTTCCTACCTCTTATTAGCGTTGTTTTCCTTGTCCTTATTCGGATAGATGAGATGACTCGGTGGTGGAGCTGCCGGGGCGATGGAGTGCGCGAAATCCTTGTGATTTCCGCCTTTCTTCCACTCGGAAAACATCGTCTTCGCCCGCTTTCCCCTCTTTCACTCCAACATTTGCGCGTCTCGAATCTCCTGAAATTCTCTAATATTTCTTTCGCCTCGATTTTCTCTTCTAGACGATGATTGTGAAAAAGGTTTCCGGTCCTTTTTCCCCTTTTGAAATGCTTGGAAACCCCCTTGGATACGGCGTCATCTTCTCATCGTTAAACGTGAAAAAAATGGCCTTATGAGGCTTTGAGAGGAGAAAAACTCGTTGAGCATTGAAAGTTTCCGGTCATTTCATCGAATGACGAGAGTTGAAGGAGTTGGAAAGGATTGTTTGTGGATAACTGTTCATAAAATATCTTAAAAATTGATTTCTAGAGAAGTAAAAGCAATATTCTAGAGAAGTGAAAGCTAGATAGGCTAAATTGGAAATTTAACATTGATTTGGTGATTTTAAGCGATTGCTTTGAAAGCAGTTGATCTGAATTCAAATTAGGATAATGGTAAGCCAGATTTGAAAGAGTTTAGCTAAAATTTTAGCTAAACTAAAACTAAACTAGATACAAGAGTTAGTTAATTCTTTAGAATTCACAAAATCTTTAGTTTTTTTGAAGTTATCCAACATTTTACCACTTGATCTACCTTATTTCCTCTAATATTAGGTTGGCAACTTAATAATGACGCGTCACTACTTAACATGTTTTTTGTAATTTCAAGCACCGTTTCTTCCCTCTTTTTTGCATATATACAAAGTAAAAGATGTCTGCATAAATAACATTTAGTGCTCCGTATTTCATCATTCGCTTTTTGGCAAAAAATGGAGGACAAAAAATTCCGTATTCGAGCTGTATTGTTCTACGATTTTTAACAAGGAAAATCACCAGCTGGATCTCATCGCACGATCATCACTGTTTTTGGAGAGAAAAGTATAAACATTGGGCAATGTCAACGATGGTTTCAAAGATTCCAAGGCGGCGATGAAAGCCTCGTAGACGAGCCACACCAAGGACATCCTCCAGAAGTGGTCGATGATGACTTGCTCGCCTTAATTGAAGATTGCCCAACACTCACGGTTCGTGAGTTGGCAGAAATATTTTAAGTATCCCATACGACAATCGAAAACTATTTATACAAACTTGGGAAAAAGAATCGTATTGGAAAATGAGTTCCTCACGAATTGACCCAAAGCAACAAAATGGCCCGTGTCAATGTCACCTCAATTTTGCTACAAAAATGTAAATCAAACGACTTTTTTCACAGGGTTTTGACTTCTGACGAAACGTGGATCAACTACGAGAACGTTAAACGCAAAAATCAATGGCTACCTGCTGGGCAGACCCCTTAAACCACTCCAAAACCTGATATCCATGGGAAGAAGATAATGCTCTGTTGCTGGTGGAACTTCAAGGAATTGGTGCATTATGAAGTGCTGAAACCTGGCCAAACCGTCGATGCTGATCTTTATTCGAAGCAATTAATGAGAGTTAACGAGTCTTCGAAGAAATTGGGGCTCAAACCGGAGAGAGTCAGATTTTTACACGACAACGCAAAATCTCACACTGCAAAGATCACTTATAAGAAAATCGAGGAACTTGGCTGGAAAGTTTTGCCCCACGCGCCTTATTCACCTGATCTGGCTCCTTCAGATTACTTTTTGTTTCGGTCGCTGAAGCACTTTTTGGAGGGAGAAAAGTTCGATGATCATGCTCGGATCATAAAAGCAGTGAATGACTACTTCGCCTCAAAAACTCCCAAGTTCTTCGAGGATGGGATCCGGGATTTGCGCAGAAGATGGGAAGAAGTCATAGATACTAATGGAGAATACCTTTCGAATTGAAAGCTCTTCTTTTGTGTTTTTTTAAAATAAATGATTTGTTACATAAACGCGTCATTATTAAGTTGCCAACCTAATAGTAGTGCACCCTGAGCGTCGCCTAAATTCCCGAGAACCGCTTATCAGAACCTATCGATGTGGGGTCGGAAAATGTAGCTGACGATGAGATCTTGTGGGGGATTTGAGTGTTGAGCTTCTGCAAAAGCTTGGAAACCGTAAAATAGTCACCAACTCGGCTCGCTGGGGTGCACTACTATTAAAGAAAATACGGTTTTTATCAAAATAAGCCAAATCAAAAATAAAACTCAATCATGTGTGAAATTTGTAGTTAAGTCAACCAAAAAATAAAAAAGAATCTTTCTTTTTTATTTTTATCTTAAAGAATCCATCAATAAATCTTTCTTTTCTTTTATTTATCTCAATTTTTTGAGGATAAGACTTTAATCGGAGATTCTATCGAAGATTAAATCGGAAATCCCCCATTACGTTGATTAAAATAAAGAAAAGTTTGCAAAAGAAAGAAGTAAAAAAAAAAGTTAAATGAATGCGAAGTATTTTAAAGTAATGAATGTAAAGTAATGAATGTAAAATTTCTCTGGCTTATCTACAAGCTCAATGTAGCGTGAAAAAGGGGATTCTTTTGGTGATTAGGAGAATGAATGAAAAGGGGAGACATCTTCAGATTTAACACATTCACGACAATATTTGGGATCGTACTAATGACGATTTTTTTGGTGAAAACTCGTTTTTAAGGATTTTGTTATTCATTTTGTAGAAAGTTCTTGGTAACTTTGTGCTAGTTTTCAAGAGGAGATTCAGCGCTATCGAATGACTAGAATAGTTTAGTTTATCTTTGGATTTCCACAAAATTATCAGTAAAACAGTAACGACTACGCGACTTTACGCTCTAAATACCGCCGAATGTGTGAACAATTTCCTTTCAATTACACTTTCTCCAAACGCCAATTCTGTTCAAGAAGAGCATGCTCAAACCACCGTAACCTTTGACTCAAATCTCTATAAGTTTAACCTTTATAAATCTTTTTACTCTTCCTATCTCTAGGCTAGTTGATATCACAGTAACTAATACTGTAAAAGATAAAAATCAAGCAACAACTTTACGGGTTACGACGGCCTAAAGCTTGCTCGAATCAGAAAGGAGTTTAGAAAAAGTTTACAAACGATTTCTCTCCAAAAAAAGTCTCACCTATCCGTTCTACTAATGACGATTTTTTGGTGACAACTCGTTTTTAAGGATTTTGTTATTCATTCTGTAGAAAGTTCTTGGTAACTTTGTACTAGTTTTCAAGAGGAGATTAAGGGCTATCGAATGACTACAATAGTTTAGTTTATCTTTGCATTTTCACCAAATTATCAGTAAAACAGTAGACTACGCGACTGTACGTTCAAAAATACTGTCGTCGCAAAATTTCTTAAGCAACTTTTTGAGCTTTTGACTTTTTTGAGCAGCTATTTGTTAAAAGGTGATGCATTTTGTCATTTCTTATAGATCTATCGTTAACTGTTTGGGTATTTTGATGCTTTACGGTTAACGGGCGGAGGGGAGGAGAGGGTCGTTTTTGACCATCTTGTACCTCGACTTTAGATAGGTTTTTGTTAATAAATTTTGATGATATTAATAAAATTTCTTCAACTGGCTATAGCCTTTAGCTATTAGGTCGTTCGGATATAAACGAGCGTTTGCACTGCTTAACTCGTGAGGAAGCCATTTCCCGTATCTGATCGCCTTAGGCTTGGACTTATGGCGAAGGCTAGCGGCTAGCGCCTCGCACTAAGTCTATTTGGGTTTGGGCTGAACCCTCATTTTCTGGATCTCAGCCAGTTCCCGGATTAGTCTTAGGCTTAGGCTTAACTCGTGAGGAAGCCATTTCCCGCATCTGATCGCCTTTCCAATGGCGTGGAGATGCTCATCAATGGTAGAATTTGAACATAGAAACTGTTGAGCAAGTTCACACGTTGTTTGACATGGATCCGATTCGATTGGAGCCCTCAAAATATCTACCGATTGAGGTCGACGAGAGTGTTCATGATCCTCGAGACTTTCATCACCATTCCGAAAGCGTTGGAACCAGGCTCGGCATCGAGTTTCGGACAATATATCATTCCCAAATGCTTTGACCAAATCTCGATGAGATTCCGCGATTCCTATTTGGTTCCTATTTGATTCCTTTGCCCAGTTTGAAGTCGTAAAGTAGGCAGACGCAAACTTGAAATTTTTGAAGTCGGTCATCTAAAGCAAGAAAAAAAGATTTGAAAAATAAGAAATTATCCGTTTCCAAAGAGAAAGATTCCAAATATACACAAGATAACGTACTTTTAAATACAGAAAGACATGTTTTAAAAGCTTCTCTCACAACAATAAGTTTAGCAACGCTTGTTTATATCCGAACAACCTAATATTTCCTAAAATATGTAAACTTTTTCAAGCCACCATCTTGACTCTATTCTTTATTTAAACTTTTAATTTCCCTCAGTCTTTTTTGTAAATTCAGATGATTTATTATAACTAGATAGAGAGAAAACTCTCTCTGAAGGAAAGGATAGCAATTATGTTGCGGTGTAATCGTTAGCACATTTGCCCGGTAAACGAAAGCTCACGGGTTCGAGTCCCGGCGGTGCACAGGTTTTGATCTGTATGCACAGGTTTGATCGGTGCACAGGTTTTGATCTGCCCTAGTTCCAACTGTAGTTTGCCAAAAGGCACGTTTTTTGTACAAAATACAATAGGAAATCTTTTGAAAACGTTTGTGGATTTGAGAAAAGTGAGAAGAAATGTAAAATCTTGCGAATTTTGCTGATTAGAAGAAAAATGATCGAAGAAACAAGATCTAAAAGCTGCAAAAATCTTTCCCCATCGAAGATTCTTTGTTTCAATTCTTTGTCTCAATCTTTTTTCGCATTTGTTTTGTGAACGTTAAAATTTTCTGTGTTTTCTCTTTTCTTTTCTCATTTAACATGAGAAAATCACTCAGTTTCTATTCTTTTCTAAAAGTTTTGAATGCGAAATTTGTGCCTCAAACAGTGAGGAAAAATGTTTTCGAATATTCAAAGGGTTTTTGAAAACCCTTTGAATATTCAAATGGGTTTTTGGAATGGAGAAAAATGTGAAATGGTGAAGAAGAGTTCAAAGGATCAACGAATGCATTTATCTTTCACGAAAACAATAGATTTTATCGTCTTTTGAAGAAAATATCTTCTTTTTCTTTACCATCAAATTTGAGATTTCCACGACTGAAGGTGAACAGCTGAATGATTAATTGGATTTGATTGAAACGGCAATTTATTAGCTGGTTTTGATTAAAACGATCATTAACTGATTATTAACTTAACGATTTTATTAAATTAACGATTTTATTAGCTAATAGATCACAAGGTTACTGTCAATAATCATTTTTAAATCACTTTTACTAGGTTGGTGCAAATGAAATTTCGTTTTTTTACAAACATTAAAGTCATCCAAAATTTTTTTAGATAACAATTTATTTAAAACAATAAGCACCATTATTATCTATGACATCCCTCCAACGTTGCTACAGATTGCGGATCCCCTTCTCAAAGAACGCTTGATTCTGTGATGCAAAGTAGTTGGTCACCCAATTTTCGACTTCTTTTGCATTCTTAAACTGGCAATTCTCAAGGGAATGTTGCATCGATCTGAAAAGGTGAAAATCGGAGGGTGCTAAGTCTGGACCATACGGCGCATGTGGTAAGACCTTCCATCCTAGCTTCTCTAGTTCCTTACAAGAGGTTTTTGCCGTGTGAGCTGGAGCATTATCACGGAGAAAGTTGATAGTTGAGGGATTTAGGCCTTTTTCACGCAAAATTTCGTCAACCTTCTTGAGTTGTTGAATAAAATAAGATGAATCGACTGTTTTTCCGGGCTCTAATAATTCAAAATGAACAAGTCCATTGATATTCCACCAGCAAGACAACATCACTTTGCGCCCATGATAATCCGGCTTTGGAGTTGGAATTGGCGCTTGACCTTTGCTCAGCCATTGTCTTTTTCGAGAAGTATTATCAAAGTGAATCCACTTCTCATCCATCGTCAAGATATTCTCAAAAAAATGGCTTCTTTTCGACTTATGGAGCAAGATATGGCTGATCGAAACGCGTGCTCCCAGATTCTCAACACTCAATTGATGTGGAACCCATTGTCCATTACGATTTGTCTTTCCAATTATTTCCAAATGGCGTACAATTGTTGAATTGGAGATGTTTGGCAAGTTCTCGTGTTGTTTGCATTGGATCAGCTTCAATTCATTGTTGTCGATGGCTGTGGCACGATGTCCATGCGATTCGTCTTCAAGGGACTCATTACCATCTCGGAATTGGGCAAACCAGAGCTGGCATGATCTTTCGGTGATAACCTGTTCTCCAAAGGCGGAACAGAGATCACGATGTGAATCAGCAGCGTTTTTGCCCATTTTGAAGTCATAGAGAAGACACGTGCGCAGAACATACTTTTGATCCACCATGATCTAAAGCAAAAATCAATTAAAAAATGAAAGCTCTGACTTTGAAAAAATGCGAAAATAAAGTAAATATCCAAGAGTACAAATGCACAAAAGAACATCAAATAAGCTCTTCAGATTAAAAAAATAAGAACATTTTATATCGACCGAAATTTCTTTTGCACCAACCTAATAGCTTTCACTTTCGTATAGTTTCCAAATCTCTTCATCTCTGAATTTTCAGTTTTAAGTTCTTTTCTAGTAGATGATTCTGGGAACTCGAAATACCATTCAATAGCAAATTTTCTTGCGCGTCTTTTGAAGTTAACGCTGAACGCTGAACGCTGAACGCTGAACGCTGAACGCTGAACGCTGAACGCTGAACGCTGAACGCTGAACGCTGAACGCTGAACGCTGAACGCTGAACGCTGAACGCTGAACGCTGAACGCTGAACGCTGAACGCTGAACGCTGAACGCTGAACGCTGAACGCTGAACGCTGAACGCTGAACGCTGAACGCTGAACGCTGAACGCTGAACGCTGAACGCTGAACGCTGAACGCTGAACGCTGAACGCTGAACGCTGAACGCTGAACGCTGAACGCTGAACGCTGAACGCTGAACGCTGAACGCTGAACGCTGAACGCTGAACGCTGAACGCTGAACGCTGAACGCTGACACTGAACGCAAAGTGCGCCCGACAAAGAAAGCTAAGGCGTTTGCTAGAGCTTAAAGTACGGTCTACTTTTTTATATAGAGCAAGTCAAAAAAACAAACCTTCTTTGGATCAGTCGTCTGTTCCCTATTCAAAAGTTCATCCTCATCGTCGCGTCGAAATCTCTAGAAAATTCTCGATACTTTATACTAGTTTTCCAGAGGAGATTCAGGGCTATCGAATGACTATAATAGTTTCGTTTTTCTTTCAATTTTCATCAGCAAAACAATAGCCTACGCGACTGTACGTTTGAAAAGTCAAATGTGTTAAAGCTTCAACAAATAACCAACCACTCTCCATTCCGCAAGTTGTTTCTGAACTCCGATATTTAGAGGATCTGGCTCATTGCTCTGGAAGATTGAAAACTTTTCTATAGGCTTTTCTAGTGAATTCTTCAATAGCTGACTTGTTCTATTGGGTTGGTGAATTGAAAACAGCGGGCTATTGCCATATGTGACAGTTTGAGCACTTTCTTCAAAAGAAACCCATTTTGATGTCAATGGAAAAGTTGTAGAGAATCAAAAATCAAGCTTATATCCAAATTTTGAGAACGATTCAAAAACTGGTTTTCAAGAAATGCCAAATTTACGAATTTTCACAAAACTTGCATTTTAAGCGAAACTACTAACTGTATCTTTTTGGAAATTTGGCTATAAGCCTAATTTTTTGATTCTCTACAACTTTTCTATTGACACAAAAATGGGTTTCTTTTGAAGAAAGTGCTCAAATGCTCAAACTGGGACATCTCCAGTCCTCCATTTTTGAGCCTCACACTTGTCTCACACACAAACCAAAATCCTACTACGAAAGAGGAATCCGCAAATCCGCAAATTGCCTGTAAAATGGGCAGAAGTCGTCAATAATAATGGAAATTATTTCGAATGAATTCATGGTTTTATGTTCAATAATTTTAGTTCAAAGTCCCGCAGTTGTTCAAAGTTTTCAATTCACCAACTAGCTATGAACAAGTGACTAATCCTTCAAACTAAATTTACAGACTTACTTCGCAGTCAATTGAAATGGGCAAGAAGGAGATGAGGATGAAAGATGAAACAATCTGAGAGCTCTGTTATCAAGAAGGCTTTTAGGACCTTTTGAATTAGAACCGTTGCTCACTAAAACCAAATTCTCAACAGGTAAGTGTCGGAATATAATTCTTGTACAAATATAACATATTTTAGCTGAACTGCCTTAAATTTGGTGGTATTTTTGATACAAGTTCCACATATCTGCAAACCAAAACTAGCCGAGATCTCAACGTTGAAACAACAAGCTGAAAAGCTAATTTAATCTTTTAATATCCGATAAATGATTGATAAATTGATTTACTTTAATCATTTCTACATGAAATTCATCAAAATTCATCAAAAAAAACCCGTAATCCAGACAGTCTAGACTGAATACCCTAATCTAGACTGAATACCGTGATCTAGCTATTCTAGGCTGAATATTCACTTCTAGATTGAATACCGTGACCCAGACAGTCTAGACTGAAAACTCAAATCTAGACTGAATACCTGAATTATATTTCTACACCTAGCCGTCAATAATTTCTTTTTTTAACGAAAATCGATCCTAATTCAGATCCCTTCTTTAAAAATCCGATAAATTCAATCTACTGAAATAAAACTATTCAATTCGTAAGGTAAAAATATTCATTTACTTTTTCTTGTGAAGTTTTATTAAGCTAAATTTGGTTTGGTTTTGGTCTGTTTTGGTTTTGGTCTGTTTTGCTTTGGTCTGTTTTGATTTTGGTTTTGTTTGCCGAACTCTAGTTTGTAGACTTTTGAATGCATATGTCGTAGCCGATTATGAATGAAATTTTTTGGTAAATCTTTCTAGTAGAGCAACCCTTTAATGTATGAGGACAATATTATATCAATATTTATGAATTTCAGCCGAGTATGAAATGAGTGGATCTAGGCACGTCCAACCATCAACTATTTGGTATCATTCAACGCAGAATCATTGATAATTATGTTTGTATGTGGAAAATATTATATCATCCTGTAGCAAATTAAATTCTGCGTCGATTGGTACCAAATTTGTGAGTTTAGGTTAAAAATTACCGGCGCTACAACGTTTCATTCAAAATCGGCGGGACCCCCATAGCCGATTATGAATGAGTGGGTCTAGGAGCATCCAACCATCAAGTATTTAGTATCATTCAACGCAGAATCATTAATAATTATGTTAGATTTTTAAAATTAGAAAGATTTGATAAAAAGAAAAAAAATTAGAGCAAAAAAACTGTTTGTTCAAGAGGAAACTTTGAGGCCCCATAATTTGTTTTCTTTTTATCCAATCTTTCTAATTTTAAAAATTTAACATAATTATTAATGATTCTGCGTTGAATGATACCAAATACTTGATGGTTGGACGCGTCCGGACCCGCTCATTCATAATCGGCTGAAATTCGGCTGAAAAAATCGGCTACGACACATAAAACACTAGACCAGAGCTTTACAATGAACTTATTGTACAGCTGACATTGTAAATTGTGCCAATGTTAGCCATCGATAATCAGTTATCAACAATTTCTTGATTTCCTCCAAAAAAGAAAAAGAAACTAACTACAAGGAAGTGTTTTGGAAGAAGAGAAGCACGTGGTGAGGCCATCAGATGATTCAAATGTTCAAAGTTTTAATGATTTACAAAATGATCAAAAATATAAACCTTTTTCGAAAGTGAATCAATGAAAATCAATGAAAAAAAAGAGAAAATCTCTTTTCTCTTTTTGATTGAGGTGAAAATCCCCAAAATGCGCACCCAAAATCCAAAGCTTTCCACCGATTTTCGAGCGGACTCGAAAATCGCGGACTTTGAACTCGGCATTGGTGAAATTTTTTCAAAAGATTTCAATAGTAGAAGCCAAAAACAAATAGGAGAAAGTTTATTCCAAAAAAATGATTTTAAAAAATGATTAAATTACTTCCTACATCAATTTCCATGTGGCACTGAATCCCTTTGCTTCAATCGAGTAATCTGTGTAGAAGAAAAGTGACATGATATTGTTCGTGGAAAGGAGCTGTTGACTGGGGATGTCGAAGCCGGTGAAACTGAACAAAAAAAGAACATTGGCTATTCAATCTCTCCATTTGACAAGCTTCACTTGACAATCTTCACTTAACACTTGACACTAAATGACAATATGACAATGTATCAAGCTGAATAGCTTTACTGAACCCCAGAACTCTTTTCTTCAGTACTAGAGCTGGTAAAAGAGCTAAATTCTCAGGCCAAGCTAAAGCCAAAGCTATGTTTAAGGTTTTAAGCCAATTTAGAGCCAATTTAGAGATAAGTTTGTAATTCCAATGGCTGATTGAAAGCCCTTGACTTTGCTAGAACTTGATTGGCTAGACTTGGCTTTTCTAACAACCTGCCAACTAACATAACGTAAAGATGGCGATTGGTCAACATTATCTTATAGCTTTATATATGGATAGCGATATGCCAGATGAAATGCAATTTTGCACGCGCACAAAGAACACAAGTCAACACTTCTTGAAAAAAACAAAAGAATCAAAGTGAGGATCGAACTTAGAACTGAGGTCGCGCTTTGGAAACGAAAGCTTTACCACTTGGCCACGGCTATATTGTAAGGAGCTACCTAAGACCCTACCTAAGAGGTCGATAAGATCCAAATGACCGTCAAACTAAAGTTCTTGTCTGAAAATGTTTTCGAACAAAAACTTTAGACCCTTATAACTTCTGATAGGTTGCTATTTAGCAAAAACGGAATATATATTCAGAACCACAATCAAATTCTGTGTTTAATGGTATAGGTCGTATAGCATTTAGCTCAGCCAGTTGGCCTTTCTTTGTAAGAGATCTCTAAAGCGAAGCCAGAAATTTGTTGACTTGTTGACCTTCTCTTGTCACTTTCGTTCGATTTCTCCATTTTGTTTTCATTACCCAAGCTTTTGGGGAGTTTTGCAATGCTTGTTGACTTTGACTCAGAATTTATTGACTCAGAAGTTAAAATTGCTCAAAAACTAATAGCAGATTCGGATTTTTCACCCCAGAAGACTCCCGAGTACCAATTCTTAGCCTAAGAACATAGGCATAGCATAGGTACTGAAATGTTATAGATCGTCTAGCATTGTCTAGCTCAGCCAGTTGGCCTTTCTTTGCAATTTTAGTACCTAACATAGGTACTAAAATGGTATAGTTCGTATAGCATTTTTAGCAGTATAGCTCAGCCAGCAGTATAGCTCAGCCAGCAGTATAGCTCAGCCAGCAGTATAGCTCAGCCAGCAGTATAGCTCAGCCAGCAGTATAGCTCAGCCAGCAGTATAGCTCAGCCAGCAGTATAGCTCAGCCAGCAGTATAGCTCAGCCAGCAGTATAGCTCAGCCAGCAGTATAGCTCAGCCAGCAGTATAGCTCAGCCAGCAGTATAGCTCAGCCAGCAGTATAGCTCAGCCAGCAGTATAGCTCAGCCAGCAGTATAGCTCAGCCAGCAGTATAGCTCAGCCAGCAGTATAGCTCAGCCAGCAGTATAGCTCAGCCAGCAGTATAGCTCAGCCAGCAGTATAGCTCAACCAATTGGCCTTTCTTTGCAAGAAATCTCTCTAAAGCTAAGCCAGAACTTTCCAAACAAAGAAATCTTATTTAAAGAAGTTTCATCGGAAAGATAAACGAACTTTCCAAGAAGCGGCGAGCTTGTATCTCCTCCATCATACACATACAACCAGTCACGATTCTTCTCCATTCGGAAATCGAGAAACTGTAGAACAATCTGAAAAAGATTTGAAAGATTTATGGTGTATTGGAAAGTTCAATTTTGAATTATGCTTCAATTTTGAAATAAACCCTTGTTCCGCCGAGAGTATTGATGTAACTCCATTGTTCCGAATCATTTGGGTAATCATTTGGATAGTTTGGACTATTCAAAACCCCCGATGAACCCGATTGAGAAACGTACGGTAGATAGGGTCTAAAATTTGCATAGCAAAAATTATTTTTTGATTCAAAACTTGAGAGTATAATTTGCATGCCATCCACTTCTCGTTCCGCTAAAATCGGTGACAAAGCGAATGGTCATCACGTTTGATGTTGTCTAGAATTGGTTAAGGGGTAAGGGATAAGGAACCAGATTTAGGGAGATAAGGAACCAAATTCCTAGAGATAAGGAACCAAATTTAGAGAGATAAGGTACGAGATTTAGGGAGATAAGGAACCAAATTTAGAGACAAGGAACCAAATTTCGCAAGATAAGGAGCCAGATTGAGGGAGATGAGGAACCAGATTTAGAGAGTTAAGGAACCAATTTTAGAGAGATAAGGAAGCAAATCTAGAGAGATAAGGGACCATATTCCTAGGGATAAGGAACCAATTTTAGAAAGAAAAGGTACCAAATTCGATACTCAAAAGGAAAACGACGAATAATGACGAGTTTTTACAGAACCATGAAACAAAACGTTTTCAAATTTCTTTCTCTTTTGGTTCTTTTCATTGTGTGTTTTCATCGTTTCATTTCATTGAAAGCTATATCGAAGACCCAAAGCCAATTCCCAAACCCAAAGCCTTTCACGCGGCTCTTTTGCAATCAGATCTAGCTCATCTTACGCAGTTTTTCATGGGGATTCCGAATCTGTGCTCAAAATCGGCCAAACATCTTTCTGGCAATAGTTATGAGCTTTTTAAGTTTCGGGTTACCTCTATAAAGTCTCTTTCACTTTGTTCCTCTATAAAGTACCTCTAGGAAGTCCCTTTAACTAATGTGCTGGTGGCGTAGTGGCTAAGAGCTTTGTATCAAAGACGGCCTACGCGCCTTTTGCTCGGGTTCGATCCCTCTTGCAAAAAGCATTTGAATGACTCAATTGGAACTAGGGCAGATCAAAAACTCGCGTGCCGCCAGGACTCGAACCCACGACCTTTCGCTTACCGGGCAACTGTGCTAATCTTGCTCCAGAGGGAGTTAATTACTCACTTTTTGTTTTCTTTGATCTCTTGATTCATATTTCATTAAATTTACGTTTAAAAAGAGAATAATTACTAGCTTCTCAGTTAATAATTATTGTTTCCTTCAAAATGTTCAAAAAAGATCAAAAAATGACCGAAAACCGGTAAAAAATGGCCAAAAATAGCCGTTTTTAAACCTTTTTAAGTCAAAATCATTTCGAAAAATACTTTTTTGAAACGAAAAAAATACATGGAGAATCCAATTGGAGAATCCAGCTCAATTGCTTTTCCTCAAAAATCCCCTAGTTAAAAACTCGAGTAATTTACCTTTACGCCGAACTCAGAAGACTCAAAAATTTGATGCGCTGTGATTTAGACGATGGTGGACGATGGGATTTTTTTTCTGAGATATCTACTGTCTCTATGAGATATCGACTTACGCTCAAAAACAAAGCCCTACCTTGATCTGTTTCTCGAAATAGATAAGAGCTTTTAGGCTCATAATATTAGAAACAGATCAAGGTAGGACTTTGTTTTTGAGTGTAAGTCGATATCTCATAGAGAGAGTAGATATCTCACAAAAAAAAACCCATCGTCTACCATCGTCTAAATCATTTTGAGTGCTACTGTGCCTTTGAAAACTCATCATCACATTCATTCAAATAGCTTTAGAGAAAAAGTTATGTAATTTCCCCAATTTTGGTTCGGAGCAGCCAACCCTGGCAGCCAGGGTTGGCTGAGAAATTTCCACAAATTGATGAAAGCTCACCTGAAAACTTGGTTTCAAGGTGGTGTCAGTGATGTTTGTTGGATCATAGGTGAGGCTAAAAAAAAACAGAAAATATCAGAATACTTTAAAAACTCACTTCGCAAGTAAAGTCCATTGTCCGCTTGGATAATTTCCATCGTAGAGTGTCACATAGTCGTATGGTCTAGAAAGTAAGCCTAGCTTTGGCTTTAAGAAGAGAAAAACCGACGTTTCAACATTCCACGCGTCGAAGATCAACTCGACAAAGTTTGTCTGATTTCCCGTAATGTATTGAATACAATTTTCATTATTTGCGTACTGATCGGGGAAATTCGGTGATTGAACGACTCCGTAGCGTTGGGTTTGATTCGCTGAGTCACATCTGAGATTGATTTTTTGAATTAGATCTTATACAAAGTGAAAGTAAATCAAAAATCTAAAGAAATCTGTTCTCTAAAGACTTAAAACTAAAGAAAATAGTTTCTGTTTGAGCTTACGTGGCAATTTTCTGATTGCAAACGAATGGTTGTACGTTAAGACATTGCATATTGAAGTAGCCAACCGGATTCGTCGTTCTTATTGCTCCACAAGTTCCCTGATTGGCTAGTGGTTCGCCTAAAAATGCGAATTCTTCTTTCTTTTCTTGTTTTTGATGTTCTGTAAGCGTTTGTTTACTTTTAAACTTTCAAATTAACAAATTTAAAAGTAAACAATCAAAATTTGAGTTGGCGAATTGAAAACTGCGGGCTATTGTCATATGTGACAGTTTGAGCACTTTCTTCAAAAGAAACCCATTTTGGTGTTAATAGAAAAGTTGTAGAGAATCAAAAATCAGGCTTATATCCAAATTTTCAGAACGATTCAAAAACTGGTTTTCAAGAAATGCCAAATTTGCGAATTTTCACAAATATTGCATTTTAAGTGAAACTACTAAGTGTATCTTTTTGGAAATTTGGCTATAAGCCT